TCTTATACTGACAAAAATGTTTGTGACAAATGAATCCTTTTGTAGTTTAAATAATTTGGTTGACTATCGAATAATGCAGATGCTTTTCAGCAAGTGAAACTGAAGACAGTATTTTTACACCATAAATACAAAATACTGTTTTATAGTTAAAGTGATATGATTGGTATGCACGTGTTTCTATTGATTATGCAACTTTAAACATTGTAAAGATGGTAGCAATCTAAAAGTAATTTGTATTCTGATCGATCAGATATGTCTGTTTTAATTCTTTTTCATTTAATTAACACTATTTCTTGTGTTACAACTTATTATATAAATCATCAATGGTTAGTATTAAACAATTTTAGCAAAAAATAAATTACCTAAACTTAAAATTAATTAACATATCAAATTAACAGAATGGCATATAATTGAACAAACGTTATTAAAATGTTATAATTGTATATTCTTGTATAAAACTGAAGATAAAACATATATTTAATACCAAATCGATGATGAAGCAATGTTATATGTCTTTTATAGGGTTTGTTTTTATCTAGGTAAATCAACAGATATATCTTCAAGAAATACAGTAAAGCTCACACGACCCGCAGTGATAACCCTTTTACAGTGATAGCCTCTATGAATATAGATATATAGTGAAGTTCACACAATCCACGATGATATGCCTGTTAGAGGGTTCTTATTTTAAGTCAAGAAACGGCGATAGCCTCAGGAAATATTGTTTAGCTCAAGACAGACCTTGTAGATGATTCAAATCCCTATAAAACCCACGATGATAGCCTCAAGGAATACACTAAAGCTCAAATAACCAACAGCAACAGGGTTTTTAAAGTGTCATCAAAATTATACTTACACCGATCATGCCGATAGACGCTGAATACATTAAGGCTGACACAACTCGCAGTGATAGCCCTTATAAAGAGTACTGATCGCAAAAAAGTAACAGTGATAACTTCAGGGAATAACGTTAATTCAATCCACGTCGATAAGCCTTTAAGAGGGTTTTACCACAACAACACGCACGATGTTAGCTTCAGCAAATACTGTAGGGCTCACACAACCCATAGTGATAGGTCTGTATGAGTTTTTTTTTGCAATAATTAATATGGTGATAGCGTTAGGAAATACGGTAAGTTAACACAACCCACGGTGACAAAATTCTGGAAACTAAGTGATCCCTCGGAAGCATTAATCACAACAAAATTACATAAGAATTGCAGACTCGGTTTGATTAGTCTGTACATGAGAGATAATGAATAAGTGCAACATCCCTCACGCCCCCTAGCACCGGCTTGAGCGGTACTCAATTCTAAATACCTAATAGTGCTGGCATCAATGACAAGCCTTTGAGACGGTACTTTTCAAGGAATACAGTAAAGCTCACACAACCAATGGTGATACGGTTTTTAGATGGCTCGTAACGCTATGTAACCCCAAGAGTATCCTGATGGAATACATGATATCTAATACAATCAACAATATTAGAACTTTAAGAGCAATTTTATCGCAATATAACACATGGGAATAGCCTCTGTGAACACAGTAAGATCACACAAACCATATAAGAGGGTTCTTAAGGATATATAATCTGCGGTGATAGCCTCAGGATTTTAGGTAAAGCTCACATAATCTTCTGGGTCTTTTAGACGGTTCTTTCGCAATGATTGCCTCAGGAAATAATTTAAAACTCAAACAACACAAGGTGGCATACCTGTTACAGGGTCCGTATCGCAATGAAACTCACGCTGATAGCCCCGGTAAATACAGTAAAGCTCACATTTCCCATATTTGTTTGTTTTTAGAAGGTCCTTTTGGCTTAAAAACACATGCTGATAACCTCATCGAAAAATTTTAAGCTTACAAAATCCCACGTTGATCGGGAAGGTTTTTATCGCAATGATACCCGCGATGACAGCCTAAGGGAATAGATTAAATCTCGCTCAATCCTCGGAAATAGGCCTTTAAGACACTTTTTATCGCAAAAAAATGAACAAACGATAAAAACCTCCAAAATACAATAACGCTAACACAAGCCTTGTAAATAGGGCTTTGAGGGCTTTTTCGCAATGGAGTTCACAATGATAGTTTAAGCAAAAACAGTTAATCTCACACAACCTTAGGTCAGCTTTACGGGTTCGTAATCAAATGAAACCAATATGTGTTAGGTTCAAGGAATGTATTATGCACTAAAGCTGTGCACAACTCACAGTAATAAACTGTTAAGAGAGTTTTTTTTTCGCAATAAACCCATGGCGATATCCTCAGAGTAGGAAGAGAAGCTCTTACAAACCAAGAAGATAAGCATTTAAGGGTTACCTGCGATGATAGTCAAGGAAATACAGTAAAGTTCTCACAAACAACGGTGGACTGGTAAGCCTTTTAATAGCTTCTTATCCGCATGAATCATACGATTTTTTTACCGCAATCAAACACAAGTTGATAGCTTCAACAAATATTGTTAATCTCACACAACCAACAGTGATAGGCCTCTTACAGGGTTCAAATAGCAATAAACCAAAGGTGATATCTTCAGGATATACAGTTAAGCCACACTATGCATAGTTACAGGCATTTTAGAGGGTTCTGATCGCATTTTAACCCACGGTGATAGCCTTGGGGAATAACGTAAGGCTTAACTTAACACTTGGCGGGGATTTATTTTATTTACACTTTCTCGTTTATATGAACATGGTGGGGCTAAGAGCGAGATTTGGTGCACCATTAACCGGTTTAAACGCCCCAGCAGTCATTATTATGCTGCTGACCGTTCCAAGGCGGCGTCCCACTGTGTTCCTCAGATGTATGTCTATGTTGCTTCATACTGTTTTGGTAACACTTTTGCTTGTGTCCCTTGTTGTTTTCTCGTCTACGGAAAGTATCTTCCCCATTTCCTCTGGTTTTATTTCTTTTAATACCCCCCCCCCCCCTTCCCCCGGTCTCCTGTCCCCTTCCCCTTTGTGGGCCTATTATTATTTTCTTTGAATTCCTAATCAGTTACAAATTATTTATCATTTAATGATTAACCTGTCCGTGTTCTGTCTTTGCCCTGTCCTGTTTTGTTTGGGGTCCGCCTGGGCTCCTTGCCATTGGTACTTGTTGCTGGGTCATATGGGGGTTGCGTTCATTGAACGCCGTCTTTCCTTGTTGATCTTGATTTTCATATTTTACTCAATCAACGGTTATGAACCTTATAGAGGGCTCTATTTCCATTGAAACTCACGATGAAAGTTTCATGGAATACAGTAAAGCTCACACAACTAATGATCATAGGTCTTTTGGATACTTTTTCAATGGCAATGGAGCCCATTGTGATTGGCTCAGAGAATACAATAAGGCTCCACGATGGTGAGCTTTAAAGAGGGTTCTTATCGCGATGAAAGATAGGACTTTTAGAGAGATTTAATCGGAATACAGGTGATAGCCTCAGGAAATATTGTCAAGCTCACACAAACCATGGTGGTAGACATGTTTTTATCTTTATTAAACCATCAGTGAAAGTCATAGAAAATACAATTAAGGTGACCCAAAACGATAGAGAAAAATTAAAATTTCAACATGGGTTGAAATGTTGCATGCTCGGTTTGATTGTCGGTACTGGAAGGTGCAAGCTATCGTGCACGCCCCTAGCACAGGCTTAAAGCAGGATTCAAAATTTATACACGATAATAGACGTTTCAGGGGGTTATTACTGCAATAAAACGCACAATGATATCCTCAGCGAATACAGTAAAGCTTACACAACTCATAGTGATAGCTTTTGAAGAGTGTTCTATTCGCAATAAAACACACAATGATAGCCGTAGTGTAAACAGAAAAACTCACACAACCCACGGTTTAAGACCTTTTAGATTGTTCTTATATCTATGCTACCTACGGCCCAGGATATAAAGTAAAGCTCACATAACCCAATGTGATAGGTCTTTCAGAGGAAATTTATCGCAATGAAACTCAATGCAATTGCATCAAAGAATGTGGTTCAACTCACACAACCTTAGGATTTTTAGAGTGTTGTTATCTCGGGTTTACCCACGTTGATAGCCTCAGGTTTACATTGAATATCACAAAGGCCTCGGTGATAGATCTTTTCGAGGATTGTGATCTTAAGTACTCCAAAGGTGATAGCTTAATGGATTACAATGACGATCAAAGACCCACGGTGATAGGTCTTTTAGAGAGTCCGTATCTTAGATTTTTCAAATAGTGCAAGCCGGAGGGAATTCATTTAAGCTCATCAGCTCATGGTGATAGGCTTTTCAGAGGGTTCTCATCTTAACTTCATCCACGGTGGTAGCCTGAGACAATATAGTGACGTATGACATAAACTTGTCTCTAAATGATTAATTGAAAGTTTACAAAACGGAATCCATAAAGAACTCTTAAACGACAATTGAAAATGAAACAGGTTCTGTCTGTTTGTTCGTGTTCATGGACGGTACTGAATTGTCCAAATTACGGTCCACTCTCCTAGCACCATTTTAGCAGAATTCAATCGAATTTAATCTTTTTGAAATTAAGAAAGATCCCGAATCATAATTCACACATCATTTTACCTCCAATTTGAAGCGTTAGAGTTGACAAACCTTCTTAAAATGTATATTGAGATGGTTGTTTTTCACATGCGCTAAAACTGTTAATTATATGAACTAAATAAAGATGTAATACCATTGGTCCAAAAAGTAGTAAACAGACCTTTTTATTATAAAACCATATACACGTGGTGAAGTATCATATTCAATGGTTAAATCGGATTTTCCCTATCTAAAAATAGATTGAGACGCAATGACCATACATTGTAACATTTTATTATTCGCATTTATTGTAATGTGTAGCTGTGAATGATTGAAAATATAGATGTATACAAGGATTGTTATAAAATAAAGAAAGCCTGTGATAGTAAGGAATCGTTTAATTGTAATCTTATTGTTCTACTTACTACTAAAACAATTATAAATGAGTCTTACAGATAACAAAAATACTCGTACTGAGGGCTTCAAAACGATGCATGTAGGATAGCATGCTCATTATCTGAGACAATCTAATATTATAATTCAATATACATGCACTGGTAACATATTGGCACATGCAGACATATTATACAAAAGCAAGACAATAATTCAATAGTGTGCTTCTATTTTACGGACTTTCATTATAATTAATTGTGCAACTAAAACTTTTTTATGGGCAAAATAGATGTACATGTACCATTAGATAATTACGTTATCTTTCAAAGACATCAAAGTACGTTAACATAACAAATTTGTTTTCATACATGTTAGATCTACAATGATATAATCCACATCTTCTAATTAAATTATATTCATCACGATAATACGTTAAAAGAACAATTACATTTACTCAAATTGAATCATATTATACATACCGGTTAGTAATGCTATTTATAAAGAAATAGTTTTCCTTCCAAAATTAGAGTATAATCTTTATACAGCTCATAAAATACAATTTAATGTATAACTATGCATTTTAAAGATTATCAATAAATGTAAATCATGCATTTGCCAATAATTCAAGTAGAGAAAATAATAATGATATTTCTATAAAGCTTAGTTAAAATAAGCACACTTTCATGATGTTTAATAATGTTTAAACTAAAATTGTGAAACATTGTTTTCTATAAAATCATCTGTTTATAACATTGTGTATTATCGATTTATTTTTGAAAAAAAATAAACATGCACAGGCTGTAGAACATTGCAAGAAAATACTTAAATTGCTCAACTAAAGCATGCTCCCTAAAAGCTTCACTTAAGATAAACGTTATTGGCATATCTATATCTATAATGATTTTAGCAACCAATGTTTTATTCCTGAATAAATCATTTCTAACATACAATACATCAGAATAGTTTATAGGTAAAATCACAGAAAATAACTCATACAAAATATTTAAAATTTAAAGCAATATTGAACGTATGAAATAAGCCTAACAAGTACTTATCAAAAAACAAAATCAATACCATTCGAAATTCGAATTCAACGTAGTTAAGCTAAAAATGTAGACTTCATTGTGATTAATACACGTAAAGAAGTAATGATAATTTATCAAATAAATAATGTTTTTGTCAATGATTAGTCAGTATCTAGTTCACAAAAATCATAGTCATTGTTTCCTGGTTGCATTTTCTTATCGGTTGCAGTGTCATATAATGTATTAGCTTTGTCATTTCCATGTTTATCCCCATTGTTGGAATTAAATACAGCATAATCGTTGCTTGGATGAGACATGGTTTTGTGTTTCCCTCCTTCTGCAGAGTCGTAAACATCATCTGGTTGTGCCAGGTTTGATTCAGTGTTGTCAGATCTTACACTGAGTACGGCATAGTCATTATTACTATTGAAATGATGTTTGTTCTTTTTGTTGTCATGCGTTGTATCGTACATTTCCTCAATACATTCGTTTTCTTTCACAGTCGACTTACCTTTGTTTACCACAGCATAATCATCGTTGCCACCTAACGGTTTGTAACTTTTGTTATCGTATGCAATATCACAAACCTCAAAAGTCTTGTTTTGCTCATTGGCAGATGTTCCTGTGTTTACCGCAGTATAGCCATTGTCAATAGCAGGTATATTGTGATCATCGTCATATTCAGTTTTATAGTCTTTCCCGGCATCACCACCAGCTTCCTGTTTTGGTTTGAAAGACTTGGCGTATATAACACCTGGAATAAACGACTTAAAATGAAATATTATACATGTATATAACACAAAAGATAAGAATAAGTGAGCACATTATGAAATTAAAAAGTGTTACCCCAAACAAGTAATGCCGCTTCAAAGTTTTTATATTGTTTTCATCAGTATAAAATAATTTTCATAATGTACCTTGTCCCATGCTAAGTCAAAAAGAATAATGATTATTATAGAATTTAAAACATATAAATATTTAAACAAACCTGGTTTGTCATCGTCAATTTGTTTCGGAATCTCTTTCATATCAAGTGCATAATCGTTTTCCTGACATTTTGTATGAGCGGATAGTTTTTGCCTGAAATAATAAATGTAAGTCGAATTGACTGCGCTCTATTTCTTAGAATGAACAATAATCATAACCTTGATTCATAATCTTCAAACACTCTAGCACTAGAATGTTTTATATTTCAGTTTGTAAGAACACTAACATTTTGACTCGCGTTAAATTTTGTTTATATCTTACGAGCATGTGCTTTGCAGTAAATGAAACCTTAGATAAAGATTAAATGATGTAATAAAAGACATATGCATATGTACTTCGAATCATAATTTTGAACCAATACAACCATAGTGAGTACCTTCGATTTCGTTTTATAAGACAAATTACTAGGATCACCAGCAATACTATAACAGCAACACCAGCACCGGCAGATGATGCAATAACAACAAGTGATTTCTTTTCTTCCGATGCAGCACCTTTGATAGCTTTAATGAATAATAAAACATTCAAATAGGTTGGTTTCAAAACTGCGTTGAACTATTAAAATGAACAAAATTGGTACAGTCAGAAGAGAAAAAAAATGTTCAAAATGTATTGCAGCTTCAGATCTACGGTTCATGTGTTTTTTTTTTATTAATGAGTAAAAATTAACATGAGAACAATAACGAAAAGAAAATGTCAGGAAAGACATACAATGTCAGTAGAAACAATGTATATATTTACTATAAAGACATTCTTCACGGTATAGTATGGTCAAATATATTTCAAATCTATATTTACCTGTACATGTTTCGCCATAAAAACCTGGTTTACATTCAGTACAATTGTTCTCAGATACACATTTTGAACAGTTCTCTGTACAATTTAAATCACAATAGCCACCGTATAACCCAGGTGAGCATTTATCACATTTATCTCCAGAAAAACTAGGTTTGCATTCTCCAATACAATTCCCATCCTGATTACATCTTCCACTGTCACAGCCAGGTGAACATCTATACTGACAATATGATCCGTGATAAAACCTGTTTTTACACCATGAACATGCTGTATCTGATATACATGTGCCACAGTTAATAGGGCACGTTTTGTTACATTCATCCCCATACTTGTCATCTGAACAAGCATCACATTTTGCTACGGTAAAATTAGTCGATTTACATGGACATTTTCCTGATGATATCAAACATGTGTTGTTGGCACATCCTTTTCCACAATTCAATTTGCAATTGTTACCGAATAATCCAGGAACGCATGAATCACATTTATCTCCAGAAAATCCAGATTTGCATACATCAATACAGTGCCCATCATCTTTATCACACATTCCCTCTTTGCAGCCGATTGAACAACTATTCTGACAATGTGATCCATAAAACATGGAGTTTAGACACAATGTACATTCTGCATCTGATATACATGTGCTACAGTTACCAGGGCATGTTTTATTACATTCATCACCATACTTATTACCCGAGCAATTCTGACAGGTTCCATTGATAAAATTTGCCGATTTACAAGAACATTCTCCTGATGATATTGAACACGTATTGTTTTTGCATCCTTTCCAACATGGTTTATTACATTTGGCAGAATAATAACCAGGTTTACATTCGGTACATTCCGTACCATTTACACAAGTTGTGCAATTGTCAAGACACTCTTCTGTGCAATTTTCACCATAATGACCAGCTATACAATCGTATGTGCAATTCTTACTCAAATCACAAATCTGTTGTTCATTTTTACAACATTCACATTTTGTACATCCTTGAGTCGAGGATCCTATAAAAATATTGTGCTTGGTATACGAAAAGAAAATGTCCATTTGTTTATAAATCTTTAACGTGGAATATATAACAAAATATAAGAGGTTTGTCGACCTTCCTTTACATGTCATTATTACAATGTTCTTAATGATATCAATATAAATGTTTGCATGACATATTTTTAGTTGAAACAAAAAATATAATATCGCCATGATATTATATGCGACATTAAATTTAGTAAAGAAGTATTTGATAATTTATCACTTACAGCATATTATTTATCTTTCGTAAAATGTTCATTTGCACAGTTTTAAGAAAATAAAGACTTCAGTGACAAGTGGTTAAAAGCGTCGACATCAAACTATTACTAACTCTTCACCGCAAGTTTAAATCACGGTAAGGGACACCGATTTAACGGTGTGAGAAGCAGCTTTCTAGCTATCTTACGGAACGACCATGTGTTTACTTACCAAAGTGACATAGTAACAGAAAAAACACAGTAGCTGTTATTCCCATCATTGTGTGACAGACGTACCCTTAAAAAAATTTAATCTCTTAAACTGACGAGTGTTCAGTTGACAGATATATGAGCTTTTATTACAACTATGTTTAAACTGTCAAATAGGAAATAATGGATATAAGCTGATTATATTATTATGTGATATTTAAAGTGTATTACATTATAATAAAACATGTACATGTATATGCATTCTAATATAAAGAAAGAATAAAGTTAATTATCAACAAAAAACAAATTAGTTAAATATGACAATCATATCTTTAAACGTTCAAAACAACAAGTTTGCACATTCATTTTTTTAGGTAACAATTCAGTTACAGATATAAATCACGGATATGAATATGGTTTAGAATTGTAATTGAGCACCATTTTTCAAGTTTATTGTGTTAAACATATGTAAGCTGTAATAAAACCACATCTTTGCAAAATATGTTGTAATTTTATCCCTTTAAACGATTTAAAACCCTGTTTACTTTATAAGTTTTTACACAATTAAAAAGGTTTATATTAAAAATCTGCAAAAAGGGGAACACAAGAGTGCACACAAATCAAAGCAAATAGTTGTTTTCAATTGCAGACTCGGTTTAATTAAGACTCTTTCAGAGCAATAATCTTTTATGCGACCTAACACTAAAACATCAACAAAAGCATACAGCAAACGAGAGACGTCTGATAGCGTTGACGGAAGTTTTTAAGGTTTATCATACACAAGCATCTTAACTAAAGGATGGTAAACTGACAATATAATTGTTCAAGCATTCAATGAATATATAGATTAAAAGTAAAATAGTAAAAATAGAATCGTATTAGTGGCTGATATGCTTAAATGATTTAAGTAACCATCATACTTCATCGATTTAATGAGCACAACAAGCACTACATGCCTATGACAGTTTACAACGAATGGCATCCATTTTAACAGAATTATAAAGTTTTTAAAAGGTGCAAATTTTATAATAGGATATCGAAATGTTAGAATGTATAGATTCTTTTTAATATTCTATCAGGAGCTTGAGTTTTAATTATATGATATATTATTTACATCGAAATATTGACAAAATAAAAATTGTAAATGTAATATACCTTTGTTAAACTTGATATCCAAGTGGTCTTCCTTTTCCAACTTCACTCTATTATCTGCATAAAACTACCGCTCTGATGAATAGTTTTGAAAATCACAAAACATACTTCCTTGTTGTAATTCATTCAAACTGGAGCGTATCTTTATATCTCACAGTGTAATGAGTCACAAACCGAACATTCAAAAGAGTATAAAAATGATTCGGATAATATTACGGTGAATCGAAGTAAACGTAGCTTGCAAAGGCGATGAGAAATGAAAAATAAACACGAATAAACAAATACACTGTATCATACCTTGTGTTGTATTTCATTTATATTATAATAATTATATGATTTTCATTTTTTATATTCGTATTGATATAGATAGTATAGTTTCACCATTATAGAAGGTACATTCGGATCCATGCATATATCTCTCTTAACTATTTCACAAATGGTTGGTCTTATTAATTTAGTTTAATCATATTTTAGTCGGATGTTAAAAAGGAAAACAAACAAGACATACATATATTTTGGTAAATCTCATTTTCCTTTTCGTTTTCGATTTGTTGTTAGGAAGAGGCAACTCACATTATTATCGTTCTGATAGTGAAATAGTACTTTGATTTTATACTATAACATCACGACCAGACTCTTTGGGAAATAAATTGACTCTAAATAAAAGCATTAAAACAAACATCATTATAAATGCACAGTAGAGAAATGTGATCAAACAGTGCTTTTGTAGATCACGTTGAAAATTAAATGTTTAAAATGTCATAGCATACTGCATAAAACCAGCGTTTTATAGTCTATTTGGGATAAACACGATAATGAAAATGACCTACATCTTGAGATGCAGTTAAATAAATCATATTGTTTAGCAATAACGCATAAGTGGATAAGGAAGTAAATATCCACTTTTTTTTAAATTAAACAAAACTTCCCTTTCCACTCGTATGTGTGGATATCAAATTATCGGATTTAAAAGATTATTTCACACGGTATGTAACCTCTTAAAAATTATAAAGCTACTTCACATAAAACAACTTTTTTTTATAAAAATTCAAAACGGTTGTTTCCTTATTGTTATGGTATGTTCTCTACAGAAAGTATTTATGCTTAATACATACGGATAATGTTCTTAAACAGAATAGGATTATTCGGAACAACATTATTCAGGGCATGCGCAGTTGGCTGATATAGAGAACTTAAAATATTTTTCTGGCATAGCTTTGTTTAATTGTTTCTGATAAAAAATAAATAAAAATAGTAAACTAATGACATAACCTTAATAGCTTTATATTAATAACTCTTTAAATGAGTTAATGAATTTCTTAATGCGTTTTATCTTTATTTTCTCTAGAAAGGGAGTGAGTTCCATATTGATTTAAAAGAATATATACATTTTTGTTAACTATCAACATTGAACATTTGTTAAAATCTATAGTTTGTGATTGTGTATTACACTATAATATGGATCACATCAATACTAGTTTTGTATCGCTACACGAGTTTTGGGCACTATGTTTGATTTTGAAGGTTAAACGTCTTATGTAAAAAAAGACGTTTTCCTGCCATTGAATCACACTAACAATACCTAAATACATTACATGTCTGCATGAGATATTTCACTGTTTTTGTTGAATAAGCTTGTCATACTTAAAACAATAGACACTCTATAATGTTATCGAAACGACAGCATAAGTTGTGTTAGAATTATTAATTAAATATATCGATTTAATCTTGAAACTATTTAATTACATAATTTTTTGTATGGTAATGAGGTAAATATAGGTTATAACATATATGACGTAAAACTATTTGTGTTGCTAGTTATTATTGTTTGTTTTTGTATGTATATGTTTACTATGCTCACCTTTTATGCTTGACACAAAATTTATATTTTTTAATATAAGACAAAGCTTTGACAACTGTTTCTTTGTCTGCCTTAATTTTTATCATTCTTAAAATTTGAGACGTTACATAAACATGGGAAAAATACACTGCAAATATAATTATAGATCTGAATTGCATTTGCTTTCGCTGTGTTCTCGCATTCTTTGAAAACCTTTCGTTATATTTCGTGAAACAGTCAAAAATCGTTGTGATTCCAATAACAAGTCATTAGATTTAAAGGAAATGTTTTCAGTGAAAAGGCTATATATATCATAAAACTATAAGACAGTTGCCACCTTTGTATGTTTGTTTTAGTGTCACTTATAGCATATTCACTCAATCAATTAAATGTCCCAGATATATTTCTAGTCAAATTGAGAAATGCTCTACGCGCTCGTGAAAAAGTTGTTATTTTCGCCTGAGTCATGTATAGCATATTCAATCAAAACAAACAAATATCCTTTATTTGAACGTATTCGTTATATATATATATTTAAGCTGCTTCCTTTGAAGGTACCACAGATGACACAATGGCAAGATTGATTTCAGTAATGTTAGTTTTAATGTGTCAGATTGGTAAGCCGCTTTTATTTAATTTAATGGATATTTAAAACGATATACTCTTTTGTATTTGATCAAAAAAGACAAATGTAGTACAATAAGCTTGATTGAATATCTTAAAGATGTTTCTTGTTTTATGCCCTGTTTGTATATTGTTAATGCATGTATGTTACTCACTTTTAAAACATTGTTACTCACTTTTAAAACATTAAGAAAATCATAAATGTAAATACAAATTTAAACTGTAAAGTGTGTATATGCTGCAATAATTGGGCAAATTTGGCTTATGGGTGTTGTATTCATGGATGTATATCTGTTTTATGTATTGCAAGGGACACCGATGTATGTATAGAAAACTGCATTAGTTGTATCAACGGTTTGAATCAAGAAAAACATTATAAATAATATTGTTATCAATTACAAGCATTTTGAAACATGTTGATCGTATTTTAATATTAATTATATTATTTTTCTAGGATTATCAATGCAGGCATGTGCAGAATGTGCATGTTGTAAAGGAAGCTTTACTTGTGGTTCCAACAAGAATTGTCGTGATGGTTGTATTGACGGTTATTTTGGTGCAAAATGCACAGAGGAGTGTCTACAAAATTGTAAAACTTGTGGCAATGGTTATAAATGTACAGAATGTATACCTGGTTATTTTACTGACAAATGTACTACGCCATGTGGAAAAGGTTGTCTCAACAATACATGCTCGCATTATTCAGGAGAATGTACCTGTAAATCGACTAATTTTATAGAAGGTAGATGTGATGCATGTTCAAGTACAATGTATGGTGATGAATGTAACAACACGTGTCCTAGAAACTGTGGAGCTTGCATATCAGATACAGAATGTATCTGGTGCAAGGACACTGCTTATTACGGATCATATTGTCAATATAGATGTTCGGTTGGTTGTGTCGATGAAATATGTAATAAAGGAACTGGGTACTGTATTAAAGGATGCAAATCTGGTTTTAACGGGTATAAATGCGACATGTGCTTCTCTGGTTTATACGGACCCTATTGTGATTTAAATTGCACAGAAAACTGTATAGAATGTTTTTCGGCAACAAACTGTACAAAATGTAAATCAGGTTTTTATGGGGATATATGTGCAAATGCATGTCCAGCTAGTTGTGATAAAACCTGTTCATTTTCCACTGGTCAACATTGCAATTTGACAGAAAAATACCGTGTTTGTGAAAAAGATACAGGAAGGTGTTTACACGGATGTAACTTGGTTACAAAATATGGCGATTTTTGTGAGAAACAATGTAGTAATACCTGTTACAATAAAAGCTGCGACTTGAAAACGGGACAATGTTTAGAAGGATGTGAAATGAATTTTTACGGATTGTTTTGTAATAATTCATGTTCTACTTCATGTCTTTCTCATACCGGTAACCGTACATGTGATGGAATAAAAGGCCATTGTTTATTTGGATGTAAAGATGGTTTCCATGGCAAAAGATGTGACAACATATGCAGTACCCTATGTGTAAATACAACTTGCAACCATACAACTGCAGAATGTTTATATGGCTGTATAGATGGATTTAAAGGACCTAAATGTGCTAAAGGTACGTCAATCCTGCAAATTAATAACAATTCCATAAAAGTTTTCCCCCAAAACAAATATTTTAAACAATATAACAATTGACAAATGGCTGTTTTTCTTGTTTTCATTTGAAGAATAGGTTTGACTTTTACTCGATATAAAAGTAATGTCGTATACAAGTGGTAAAATTTTAGTATTTCAATGATATACTATGCATTTAATTACGTAACATTTTTATCTTAAGACTCATTTTAATAAACTACAAAAACAGTTACAATTCATGACAAATGGATATGAAGAATTTTATTTTTCTAGCAATAATACCGGATCAAGAAGCCTTTTATACAAGAAGTACACTGATAGGATCTACAATTGGGACATTTCTAGCTGGTGGAATTGTTGTCGGGATTGCCTCTTTGATAGCCTTCATTGCATGGAGGCGAAGGTTTGTAACAATAAAGAGGTTAATATTTTTCATAATCTATTTTTAATATATCAGATAAGAAAATACTTGGAATAGTTCATACATATATACATACACCTATTTGATGCATTGTAAACTATCTTGAAAATGAATTTAAAGTAACAAATACCTGAAAAATTGAGTGCTATATGAACTATATGAAATGTAGTTAAAAAAGCACGTTTCCTTCAATAATTTTAGGAATACACAAACTAAACAAATAGATGTACACGGATATGAAAGTACAATAACACCTAATGGAAATCGATCTAACGGTAATTTCTCTTAACTTGTTTTTTTCATAAACACCATCTTTGTTCATATTTTGATAGGAATATTTCATTTGATCATTTATCATTTTATGCATATCATTGTTTTAGTAAAAATCATTTTTTTTATTCAGGCATGCAAATGTTTTAGTTGCACAGTTACAAGAGTGAAAATAAATTCTCAAATTATTAAGTTATCTATAGTTTTCAACCCGCAAAGCTTTTTGCACACTTAGGGTTAAATTTATCTGAGTAAACATTTTGGTGTCCTTAACATTTCATTACGCCTATATTACTAGGCAATATTTAATCCTTTTATGTGAACTGTGCAACGGAAAACACTTAGGTCTTTAAAGAAAGAATTTCGGTATACTAGATGTAATAGTATCTCCAAAAGTTCCTAAGATAGGACGGAGAGGGACAAAGAAGTCCCCCCCCCCCCCCCAAAGATTATAATAAGAAGCGTTATTACTAATTAGGAGTATTCAATTTCTTTTGTACAGACGACGCACATGAGAGTGACTCTCCTGTTACTTACGAGGATTTGAAATCACGTGATGAGAGATTATACAGTCAGATAACTACACGTCAGCAGATATCACCACAAGCAAGCAACTGATTATGTTAACTGTAGCTCATAAAAACTATGTGTGATAACGTCTATTGAAAAAAACAGCATCAGACTAATCACTGTTTTTAAAACATTTAATTAAGTGTATGTTTTACGGAACTAAAACACTCAACGTCGATGCATTTTTAATATGCGTTACTCAGAGGGAGGAGAGCCTTTTAAAAACATAACTCTCAAATGACATCGCAAGAGCACACGCGGAAAGCATGATAAATGCAATCGTTTCCTTATACTAAATACATAAAATGAATCGCGAATTACCATTTGAGAAGTTTAGTTTGATGTATTTGGTGCAAAAATAGCGCTTTTGCCTCTTTTCCGTGCATTATCATTATCATTGGAATTGGGCTTTAATACATCCTTTGACTTCTGTAGCTGTTATCTCACGACAAAACCCTTCATAATATAAACATTATTGTTGAGATAATAGTAATTAATACAAAAATATAGGATCAATCAAAATTCAATTCTAAAAGTTGCTACAATTTTTAATCTCTACTAAAAACACCAGGAATTCTTTTTATATGAATATTCAAAAAACAAAAGATTATAGTGCCATTTTTGGAGTGAAATGTCTTTATTGTTGAGATAATAGTGATTGCAATGTAGGATCAAACAATATTTAATTCTAAGACATTGCTGAAATGTTAAGTTTCTATTCAAAACACCAATAATTTTAATATTTTTATACTTAAAAACCAACAAATTGAAGTGCCATTTTCTGGAGCAGAAGTCAAAACCAACGTTAGCATGTTTGAATGCATACCTGTATATGAAAGAAATCAATGTAAGGTGTAAGTTGCAGCATAAAATATTTCATCGCTATACAGACGTTTAAAGATGTTCGTTGATATGGGAAGAGTTATTATCACACTGTCATATTACAAATGTTACATTGTAGTAGCGCTTGACAAGACTTGAATAAAATATTTGAATAAAGTTTCTTCTTATTTATCGAAGCGTTCATCGGAATTGTAAATTGGCAAAACGTCAGTATGAATCATAATACCACTATAATATAAAAGTTAAATTGCATATACAATCAAAGTAAAGTAAACTAAATATTACTTTAGATATGAAATAAAGATCATTTTTATATGTATATAACAAGGCCTGAAGCATTTTATTTTTTTAGAAAGGTTTAAATAGAACAACTTTATTTATAATAGGGATCATAAAAATATATTTTTTTATAAAATATGTCGTAAGTTATAGTTTACATAAAATGTGTATTAAAAATTGTTTTAAATAACTTATGATAATTTCTTACAGCAGAGTAAAGAATCTTCGTCTACCTCTAAATTGCCGCATGTATCTATATTTTGAGTTTTATCTTTAATTCGTGATCAAAACCTAAATTGTTATGACTGCAAATGTTAAAAAATTCAGCTTTTTTAAATATATCTTATCCATGAAAATAAATATTCCTGAAAATATCAATTGCTAAAATATCAGGTTTGACGTTTTACCAGTTAAACATTTTATGATATTAAGTAAAAATTAGATATTGAATATAGAGTAAGAAAGATATTGAGGAATAATACTTCTGCCAGTTTGTAGATACTGTTGATATAATATGGATTTGTATTAGACAAATATATGCAATATTACATTAGATTTCGTAAAGTTGTATATGTCCTGGTTGTTTTAAATGAAATGAAAAATAGCTGATAAAACGATTATACGACGAGACAACAGAAACTGATGCAAGAACAGAATACATTGTATATTGATAGGTGCTATTTAAGATAGAATTAATAGATGATAATTGAAACAATTTGACAAGCCAAATGTTTGCTAAAATTGATACTTATCAAAAGAAACATGTAACGAAATCGCGAGTCCCTGTAACTTACTTATGTGCAGTACAATTTGAAGGTTTGTCAATGTATGGATTTGATTCATAAGCAGACGAAACAACACTTGTAAAATAATGTCACTTTTAACCTTTTAAATGAGCCACATCAATTATAGAAGTTGATTTATACATACGAGTAGGTCATATAAGCTAGTTTTCTGCTACATTTTGTATTTTAGGCCTCAGTAACATCAATATATTTAGGTATGACAGACAGACAAAAACAGACATATGGGCAAATAGACAGACCTATAAGAACAACAAGTTTTCTTCTGCCGTACATTAAGCCACTTTTCTGCTAAGTTGTGTATTTTAGGCCATATAACTATTTAGATATTAAGGTGTGACAGACAATAACAGACCAGACAGATGAGCAAATAGTCTAAATGCATAAAAATCTTTCTCCCTACATCAAAGCTACCTTTTTGCTAAGTTGTGAAGTTTTAGGCCTTTTAAGCTATTGAGATATTTAGGTGTGACAACAAGAGAGACAAAATGACAGACACACGGAGAAATAGCCTGACAAAATACACCAACTCTCCATGCCATACTTGAAAGTGAAATATGCTGCCTATGATATCTTGATCATTTTTTTTTTGTGAAAAGTGATTTTTATGCTAAAATTTGGTGGGGTATACTTAAATTATGTCGGAAAGAAGCAAAATTGAAAATTGAAACATTTATTTTACTGTTGTTATGGTTGTAATATTTAAATGCAAGAACAATTTCAACTGATATAATCCAAATGTTTAGTAAAACTCTGATTTGGATGGTAAAGTTAAATGGTATTACCTTTAAATAAGTAAATTTTGTAAATAAAAGTGCTACTCTTTTAGTCTGCATAGTGAAACAATTTCCAGGGTGACATATCAATTTGATTATTAAAAACTTTTCGTAAAGTCATTTTCCACATCATACTTTAAGAACACGCATATATAAATAGTTTTTTTTTTTCAGAAAAAATGAATTTTTTGTAATACTAACCATATACGGAAAACAGTGTTTTATATATATATAGTTATAGCAGATACAGTTTATTTCATTTTGGTATTGAATTGTTCAAACATTCTACCAGTTTTATGATCTCTAATCTGTTTAATAGTGTTAAGTATTGTATAAAGCTGTGAAATAAGTCTGTACCAGTTCGAGTTGTTGTATTTTAGTTGAATCAGTCAAAAATATATAAATATACCCTTATATGAAGGACTGAACAAACTTTCAAGCCTTGCAATTACGGTAGTTTGACAAAACATGGCAAATCTTAAAAAAAAACAGGGTGACCCATATTTTTCTTTGCATATTTTTCAAAAATATGAAATAGTCTCTCAGCATGAGTCCAAACATTTTACAAAATTAATATAAACGCTCCTACATCCTTAACTACGAAATAATTTATGTTTCACTATCAAATAAGAATGAAATTCATTTCAAATTTCTAACATTTCTAAACATTAAGCTGGTTACCAAAATTCAAATTCATAACTTTGAAATATTGTTATATATTTGAAGGCACAATAGTTGATACAATGTGGAAACTGGTAGCAGTGTTTCTTCTTTCATTAATTAACATTCAATTTGGTAACTTTTACTTATTTTGTAACTGTGCACAATGTCACCAATGAAGAAAACATAATTTTCAAGCAACATAATGGGAAAATAATGAGAATTAATAACAGTTAAATATTTTCCACAGAAAATAATTATTCAAATCTTTATCTTTATCAAAATGATGCGACATGTTTAGAATGTTCTAGAGGCACATTCGCATATAATTGCTCACAAAAGTGTAGCACATACTGCAATAATGACAGTAATGGCCAACTCTGTGCAATGGGTACTGGGAGGTGTTTACACGGATGTAAATTATCTACAAACTATGGTGAATTTTGTGAGGAACAATGTAGTGATACTTGTATCAACCAAAGCTGCGACTTGAAAACAGGACATTGCAAAGTCGGGTGTACAATGAATTATTATGGATCATTTTGCGACAAAACATGTGCAGATGCATGTCAATCAAATGAAAACAAGCGGGTTTGTGATGATGAAAATGGGAATTGCTTGTATGGATGCAAAGATGGATTCCATGGAAAGATGTGTAATAGCATATGCGACGGCCGATGTTTGAACACAACCTGTAATGAAATAACAGGGAATTGCCTGAATGGCTGTATACAGGGATTCAAAGGACCGAAATGCGTTGAAGGTGTGTAGAATGTAAAATCATATTTATAAAACAAAACGTTATTCATCAGTGATTTATAATAAATGCGACTCGATATAAAGATAATGTCGATTTTTTTCTGAACACGCAGATAAAAATAGTTTTTCAATTTATGAATTTCTACTTTAAACAGTATTAATAATCTTTTATTAGCGATACAGCCCGGTCAAGAAGGCCATACAACAGGTACACTTATAGGATCTATACTTGGGTCATTTGTAGCTGGTGGTATTATTGTTGGAGTTGCCGCTTTGATTGCCTTTATTGTATGGAGACGAAGGTTCGTAACATATTTACGCATAAAAACAATCTTTCTTTTTTTTGTCTTTTTTTCAAAATAAGTAAATCTTTGAAAGTAAATATACTTTATTAAAAACTGCTTTGAATACAAAGTTATTGCAAAATTACACTATGTCTGTTTTGCTAAGCTATCAAGTGTCATATGGTAATTTTGTAGACTTGTTTAATACTCATTTATCACACACCCGTGCCGAGTTTGCGACTCCGTAAATATGGTATTGCACGGCCGTGCATATACGAGGGGTGATCCAAAAATTCGTGGACAATGTGTGTATCTCCATAACGTGACGTCCTATCGAGGTTAACTCTTTGGATATTATTAATCAATGCTTTTTAATAATTCAACCAAATTTTAAAATACCAATTGCATTTTTTATCTATAACTATATGACAACATCAAAACATTAAGTATCTAAATCGCGGTGCAGCTTACTTTTTCTCTGTGATGTAAACGTTTTTATCTTATTTAAACACATGTAAAACCTGAACAAACAAAGAAAATTGCGGGAAACGTTATAATAACGTTGTTTTGATGTGTCAGTTTTCATTCTGTCCGTATCAGAAGACATTTTAAGTTATTTTACGCTCGTGTTTTAAAGAACAGGTGCTAAAAGTAGCTTTATTAAAAATGGACGTCACGGATCCAGCAAAACTTCGGACCGTTATACAGTTCTGTGTAAATCTTGGAAAGACGCCTGGCGAGACAAAAACAATGATCGAAAGTGTGACAAATAAACCGTCAGTGTGTCGTTAAGTGGCATCGCCGATTTTCGGATGGATGTAAGGGAAAGTGTAGGGGAGGATTCACGGACTGGTCGACCTTGATGGACGATATTTGATGCACACATTGAGAAAAAAGCGACCCGAATCTATTGGACAATTTAATTCTTCACCAAGAAAATGCACCTTCTCGTCGTGCCCGGGACACACAGCTGACCATTCAAATCCAGCTTGGAGCAGAAGTACTCAGTCATCCACCATATTCGCCTGATCTTTTCCCGTGTGACTTCGCCTTGTTTAAAGAAAAAGTTGAGAGGGAGACATTTAACAATGTAGACGAGTTGAGAGGAGCCGCCAAATGCATACTTACATCATTTAGCCAAGAATGGTATGCGAGTACATTTTGAGACTGGGTCCGCCGCCATGAAAAATGTGTGCGGGTTAAAGGGGAATACTTTAAAAAGCTATTAGGCAAAACGGTAACGTAGATTACTTCCTATGAAGCATAACGTCGTTTGAGACGTCGTGAGCTGCGCCGCGTTTTTTCATGTCTATGTATATAAAATGGTGCAGAATCGTTAATTCTTGTACAATCTTTACAATATTTTGAGAATTTGCCAACATATGCTCACTTAATAAGATACTAGAATTTCTTGTCATTTGCTTTATTACTTTTTGTTTTAAGCAGGGTGTCCACGAATTTTTGGATCACCCCTCGTATTTTGGCGTGACGTAATTAGCGTTATACAAATAAAGTGTAGCGACGCGCTAATGTAAGCGTTATACTATAGGCGCGTCAATGAAAAATGACAGTTATTTCACTTTAAACGGTCTTTATTTTGGGTATGTGATAAATAGAATATTACATTCGTGTAAGTTCATTACTGAATTTATTGCACTCGTTGAATGAAATAATATTATTAATTTTATTCAACTCGTGCAATAAATTCAGTATTGAATTTACACTCATTCAATATCCTCTATATATTAAATGAATTGATTTAATGCATAAGTTTATTAATGCTTTTTGTCAAACATATGTCTTAATCAATTCTAGGCATGGATAAAGTAAACAAGCAGGCCTTCATGGATACGAAAATACGTCTATGCATGGTGAATATGGTCCAAACGGTAGTTCTTTTAGAAACTTCTTTCATAAGCATAGTTTACTAATTGTGCACCCCTGGTCGCCGATTTGTTTTTGTACTGCTATGAAAGAGACTTTATGTTGAGTCTCTCTGAAGAGAAACAACAAGATGTTATAGTCGCATTTAATAATAATTCCAGATACCTTGATGATATTTTTAATTTAGATAATCCTCATTTTGATCAAATGGTGTCTGACATTTATCCGCATGAACTACAACTTAATAAAACGAACTCTTGAAATTTTAGTACATCATTTTTGGATCTTCATATTACTATCAACAACAATTCTATTCACGCGAAAATTTATGATAAAAGAGATGACTTTGACTTTTGTATAGTTAATTATCCACATTTGGATGGAGACGTAACCCATGCAACATCTTACGGGGTTTATGTTTCTCAGTTAATTAGATTCGCTAGAGCTTGTAGCAACGTAAAGGATTTCAACGAGCGGAATATTTTTATTACCAGCAAGCTTCTAAAACAGGGCTACCGCTATCATAAATTACGGAAATATTTTACTAAATTTTACAATCTTAACTTTGATTTAATTATTAAATTCAATAGTGATTTGAAAACTCTTCTGCGACAAGGGATTAGCCAGCCTGGTTTTTATGGCGATGTGGTTTACAAACTTCGTAAGATTTTGGGTCACGGTAATTTTTCTGCTGTTTTTACTAAAATCATTAAACGTTTTATTAAAAGAGGTTATGACCCTACTATTTTAAGACATACTGCATGTTTAGTGTTCAACCCTTTTACAGTTGGACACTACGCTTTCCTCTTTTGATTGCATCTGACGGACCAAGTGGGAGACTCTATGATGGATAGTTCGTAAAGCCCTTTGGGACTGAATTGTCTTAATGTTCGTCTTCTGCCTTGCTTCGTCGGGCCCTTGTAGGTGATTTTGTTGTTGCTCTGTCTTTCTTTAGGACATTGAGTACTTTTGTTATGGTCATTGGGTTTACTTTTATATGTTTCTACATGATCATTTTAGTGTTTTACTTATTTAACCTTTTGTAACCATGACAACTGTTAGAATTTCACTTAGCGGGGATTCATTTTATTTACACTGTCTCGTTTATAGGAACATGGTGGGGCTAAGAGCGAGGTTTGGTGCACCATTAACCGGTTTAAACTCCCCAGCAGTCATTATTATGCTGCTGACCGTTCCAAGGCGGCGCCCCACTGTGTTCCTCAGATGTATGTCTATGTTGTTTCATACTGTTTTGGTGACACTTTTGCTTGTGTTCCTTGTTGTTTTCTCGTCTACGGTAAGTATCTTCCCCATTGCCTCTAGTTTTTATTTCTTTGATTACCCCCCCCCCCCTTCCCCGGTCTCCTGTCCCCTTCCCCTTTGTGGGCCTATTATTATTTTCTTTGAATTCCTAATCAGTTACAAATTATTTATCATTGAATGATTAACGTGTCGTTGCCCTGTCCTTTTTATGTTTGGGGTCCGCCTGGGCTCCTTGCCATTGATGCTGGGTCATATGGGGGTTGCGTTCATTGAACGCCGCCTTTCCTTGTTGATCTTGTTTATCATATTTTATATTTATGTCTTAAAAGAAAAAATTTTGACAAATTTTATTTTTATCTATAAGCCTTTCAAAACAATACTGATTTTTTTCAATTGTATGTCTCGAGACAAATAAACAAAAAAAGGAAGAAAGAAAGAAAGAAATAAAGAAAGAAAGAAAGAAAGAAAGAAAGAAAGAAGAAAGAAAGAAAAAATGAAATAAATTTATAAAGAAATAATTAAATAAAGACAGAAAAAAGTAAGAAAGAATTATTAAAGGGAGGCAGAGAGAAGGAAGAAAGGAAGGAAGGAAGGACGACGTATATAAGCTATTATGTATGTTTAAACAGGTTATCCTTTGTATTTGTTCAGAACAATAACAGTTAATAAGAATGATAAGAAATGTTGCATTAAAAGTGAAAATCGTTTCCTGTAATATATTACCAAAATAGGGAGATATGAAAACTCGACATTCGTTATATTTTATTCAGACAACGCACATGACAACGACACTCCTGTGACATACGAAGATTTGAAGTCACGTGACGGGAGATTATACAGTCAGATTACTACAAGTCAGCAGATATCACCACCAGTAGCTGATTATGTTAACTATAACTAAGGAAATAGACTAATTACGATTTGATATTTTAAGAAGCAAACTCTCACAGCTTTAAAATTTTGGGTCAAGATATTTCTTTAATTGTATTCATTTGTACGTATATAACTAAACAAAATAGTATAGCTTTTAGTAAAGAGTAAAAACTAAAGACGCTTTAACATGCACATGTGTTCGTCCCAATGCTGAGAGTGAATATGACATTTTAAAAATAATATTTAACAACTTCATATTGACTATGCACGTTACATAAGGTAACTAGATATTTTCAATATCTTTTTACTATACACACATGCAGTCACGTTTCGTACTTGATAAGAATAATAACACAGATGCTCGATAAACTGTTTAAAGTTATTCATTGTGCAATTATATAGAATAGTATCAAATCTTATTTTCAGTAAGAGACGCTTGACAAGATTTGAAAGTATTTGAAATATGTTATCTGCTATTTATGCAAGCGTATATTGTGTTGTTGTTGTTGTTATTTTTTACTATACACGATTAAAATATAGATGCAATTTTAGCAACTCCATACTAATAATGTTTACAAGTCTATTAATATTTTGGCGAGTGTAGTGAATAGAGGATAATAAAACTAGTGTAGGTTCAATACTTAATTTATTGAACGAGTTTAAAAAAATAATAAAATGCGATCCTATATTTTTTTTATTCAACGAGTTCAATAATTTTTGTAATGAGCCAACACGAATATAATATTCTATTTATCACATATCCAACATAAAAACAATTTACAGTTAGTTTAAAGATTATTTTTTCATTGACGCTTTAGTGTAACGCTATTATTGAGCGAGTATAAACGTTATGTTTATATCACGCAAATGACGTCACGTCAAAATATATGCACGACCGGGCAATACTACTTTTACAGAGTCGCAAAATGTCATAAAATGTATCCATGATGCTTGGATTGTTTGTTTGTTTTTTGTTATAATTATATAAGAAATATTTTAATTATGAATTAACGTCATTATATATAATTATGATATTTGTTGTTGTTTTTTTTTTCTTTTCTTGCATGAACGTTTGAAATATATTTCACTGAGTGGACCTAAGATGCATTTCTTTCCCGAGTGGCGATGCCACCTGTGAAAATATAATAGCTGGTGTTCACGAGTAAAATATTTTATAATCTTACATGCAAAACAAATATTTTCTATTTATTTCTCGAATTTTGTTACTTTTTAACATATTGTTTACAGTTGTTTACTTGCTTCTCCTAAAGAAGCAAAATTTACATACGACACAATTTGTCGTATTACGGAAAGAGAACGCACAGATGTTTCATATTTTATTACTGATACACAAGTGTACAAGTCAACTATCAAATTCGAACTCCCCAGACTGGGCGTTCAGACTACTATTTATAATGACAGCTTGTGATAATGACAACTTAAAATGTATATACATGCACGCGTTTAGAGTTACATGTAGAACTCTCATTAATCATTTCTGACATATTATTACCACCCAGTCCAGTTTTTGCATGTACATTGTTATATATATATATATATATATAAATCAATGTCATATTTTACAGTTCACATTATGAAATAAACACATGCATTTATACTAAATTCTTTGTTGCCATCACACCATGAAATATAAACATATTGTAAAACCGTGTTCATTATTCTTTTACATAACTTATGTCTGACTAATTAAGCTGTGCAATCAACTATTCGACAAATTTATTCCTGTTGATAATTCCATTTAGTTCCGAAATATTATTTTCATCCGCATTCAAATATAGTCCGTGGCATGACCGAATGATTAACGCGTCGGACTAGTTATATCATGGTCAACCGCATGGTTTCGAACACCGTCAAGGGCAAATCATTGTTTCCTTGAGTAAAAAATTTAACACACATTGTTCAGTACTGGTTGCTTCCAGGAACGAATTCGAAAGTGTGTCAATAAGCTTATAGCTTCCTACACAATAGAAATAAAATAAATTCTGTATAAACCAATTATAGTCCGGCTACATTGAAAATTGTCAAAAGTAATTTCACTTTGAAAATAACCAAAATTTTAATATACATATAATCTCAAATTTCACTGCAAATCATGTAAAAAACTTCTTCCTACAGTTTAAGCACATATTTTGCTTCTAACAACCAAATTCTTTTTGAATCTATGTGTTGTTGCACATAGTTAAAAGTTAACGGTATAACTCATTTTCTTATCTTCCTTTTATTTTGTTTGTCAAGTGAAACGATAAATTTTGAAAATAAACATTTTAACACAATTAGCTATTTTTTCGGGATCATCAGCAAACTACTTGGTCTTGAGTAAAGCAGTTAATATTGTGGGCAATTGCACCCTTTCCTATCATCATATAATGCAGGAGGATGTTTGTCGCAAAGTAGTTACATACTTTTGTATCTACTTTTGAGGTAATGCTATTTTTCGTCATATTTTGATTTCAAATTTGGAGATGCTTTTTTTAGTTATGTTGATCATAATTCATTAACCTTCATATTATCTTACGTTTTAATATTCTAAAACAATATTTAAAGTATATAATAACTGCGTTATTTTGTTCTAAATATTCCATTTTAAATAAAGTTTATGAATTGTAATATTTCTAGATTTGGACAGAATGAAGGGACAGAAAATACTTCAGCTCGTCGTACATATCGTACCAATTACTACGTAGTACAAGACCAATTCTTATCAATGACAATTTGTTTGCTATTATTTCATAGCTAAATAAAACAAATCTCAAGGAACATAATTGAGACACAATTTTCTTTCTGTTCATAAATGAAATAAAATTCTGCTGTTAATGAAATAAAATTCAGAATTAGTTTGATGAAATAGTCATTTTAGTCATTCCTGCATTTAAATAATCAAATGTAGAAATCAATTAATTTCATAATACACCTAAATTAGGGTAAATATAAATCACGTCTTTTATATACCCTTTATAAATGAATTGCGTTTTAAGGATGACGTCATATGTTTATAACGAACCAGATATTCTTAATATTTCACATACAGTTATCGCAGGTGTAAGCGGCTTTCCTGTTATTTATGAAAACTTACTAAAGTTAAATCAAAGATTTATTTTTGAATGTTAAGAAGCATTCAGATATTAGAAAAGGGAAATGTATCCTCTCATTTACATTATATGTAATTTATTAAGTATATATTTTTATTGATATATTTATCTATTTTTTGTTGTTTACGGTTTACGCCGCAATGGTAATAATCATATAATTTATTTTAACAAATGTACTTGTATATAGGCCAGACCATTTTGATTCCTGACAGTAAAATGAAAAGGAAGCTATGTATCGAACTGAATACTGCATTTATAAATGATTATTCGCCGTCTTCACTGCCAAATTCATAGTCATTGTTTATTGGCTGCATTGTCTTTTCTCGACTTTTAGTGTCGAACAATGTATTTGCTTTGACAGCTTCATGATTATCACTATTGTTGTCTTTGAATACGGCATAATCGTTGCTTGGTTGAAGCATAGATTGGAATTTACTTCCTTCTGCAGTGTGATACAAATCATGTCCTTCAGCGGCTAGGGCTTCCTTTGTGTTCCCAACTCCTACAGCGTTGTCAGATCTTACACCGAGAACAGCGTATTCGTTATTGCTATTTAAATTATGTTTGTTCCTTTTGTTGTCATGCGTTGTATCATACAATTCCTCTATGCATTCGGTTTTCTTCACAGCCGACTTTACTTTGTTAACAACAGCATAATCACTGTTGCCACTTGACGGTTTGTTACTTTTGTTAGCATGTAAAGTATCATTGGCCTCAAAGCACTTGTTGTTCGCCTTTGCAGATTTGATCACACTATAGTCATTGTCAATGGCAGATATGTTTTCATCATCGTCATATGCAGTACCATATAGTTTTCCGGTATCATCACCAGCTTGTTGTTTTGGTTTGTAAGGCTGGGCGTAAATAACAGCTGAAATAGACGAAATAAGAGTACACTATATAACATTGTAGTCATAAGTAATTTGACATTGTTAACATAAGGCATTTGACTGATTTGTTTCGCCTTCTGTTCCAAATGTATTTTCTGCGACGTATCAAACAATCGCTTTTGGTATGTAAAGCGTAAAATTAATTGTACTTTATCTAAAACGCACGGGTTACTTTCCAAATGGTTGTAATTGACACCGATCCATTTTCAATAATGTGAGTTGGCCACTAAATGCATGATTGATGGTCACGAGAAATTGCGTTACTATCAGATCGTAAAGCGTATTAACCCATTACCTCATGAGCATTTTGTGAAAAATGGCTGTTTTCATTGAAAAATCTCCCGTTACAATTTCAAATTGCTGTAATACTTAAAAACTGCTTCAACACTACTCAAACTTAGCACAAATATTAAATGGACCATTGCCCTTGTAACAACATGCTCAGGCTTAAATTTTCTGTTACCATGGCAACGAGGGGACATCTCAAAATTGCCAAAAATCACTATTTTGCGTTGATTTTTTCCATCAAAATTGATTTCAAAGTGCTGCAACTTCTCAATGGATTGAGATAGAGTCAAATGCTTTTAAGCGTTGGTTACACGTTACCTTATGATCAATCTGGGGTCATTTATAGCCTTTCACAAGTCAAACATTTTCTTGGCGATGAGGAGGACTCCGCTCACCTTCAACCCCCCCCCCCCCCAAACAGAAGGGGGCACATCCCCCTTCTGGCAACCCCTGATGTATCTTTTGGTTGGGGACCGCGTCGAAAAAAAGGTCACTTTTTTAACAACATTTGTCAAACAAAAATAAGTGTTGGGGACATAAATAAGGCATTTTTTCACCGTTTGAGACAACATAAAGGGGGGTAGAAAAGGCGTTAAAAGGTGTGTATATAACGTAAGGGGTTAAGCAGCTGAAATAACCATATACGAGTAGTATATTTATTGTTTATACAAGTAAAATGAATTAAAACCAAACAATTATATATTTGTCATAATAACGTAGACATACCTGACTCGTCCGTGTTATTTTGTTCAGGAATCTCTTGCATGTCCTGTACATACTCATTTTCTTCACATTTTCTGGAAGATGATAGACTTTGTCTGCAATATCAAAAGAGATATATTATAGTGAACACAAAACATATTTTAATATCGGACCTATCAATGTCTTCTTATCTCTAACAATCATCTAAAACACAATGTAACACTGAATCATGTAATTGTTTTAAGACTTTATCTTTTATTTTAAGAATCTTGAAATATTTCAGAGAACAGAATATGTTTACTTGCACTGAAACCAGTAAGTAAATTCTAAAAATAACTATAAAAGTGTACCTTCTCTTTCGTTTTATAAAGCAAATTGCTAGAACAATCAGCAAGATGACTGCAGCGAAACCAGCACCAGCAGATGCTGCAATAGTTACTACTAATTTGTTTTCTTCCGATCTTTTGATGGCTTAAACAAAAGAACAAATCATTCATAAACATGTCACTTCTGAATATATATATATTACTTACTAAAATAATACGTTGCTTTGTTTGTAAACCAGGATTAACTGGAGACTATTGCAAAAACACATGTAAATATGGAACATTTGGAGTCAATTGATATATATATATACATTACTTACTAAAATAATATGAAAATGAAAATACTAAGGTTAAGTATATTAGAGAAAATTGAGTGCTCCAACGAATTTTTATGTCCAAAACAGTTGCATTGGACACAAAGATTTCACTCTTGAAATACAAAAGAATCAAAACACAAGTACTTAAAGTATAAAATTGAACGAAGTAAGTACTATGCATCTTAATAGTATTTTTTTTTTTCGTTATGTAAACAAAATGAACTAATATTTACATTTATCTTGAAGACATCCCGATCCTTCATATCCGGCGATACAGCCATGTAGACATTCTGCTGTTAACCGATTGCAAGTAGCATTTACACATAGATTGTTGCATTTATTCTCACAACTAGCGCCATGAAATCCGTCTTTGCATCCGTACAAACAATGTCCCTGTGCATCATCACATGTACGTTTGCTTGCATTTGATTGACACGTTTGAGCACATGTTCTGTTGCAGAATGATCCATAATAGCCCATGACGCATCCAGCTAAGCAGTGCCCTGTCTCCAAGTCACAGCTGTGATTGTTGCAAGTAGCACTGCATTGTTTCTCACAATAGTCAGCGTATTTTACAGGGGAATGACATCCATTTAAACACCTCCCTGTATACCTTGCGCAAATGCGATCATTGCCGGTATTATTGCAATTACTGCTACACATTTGTGAGCAATTTTGTAAAAATGTATCACTAGTACATTCAAAACATGTCCCATCAATTTGGTTACATTTTACACAGTTTGCTGCACAATCATAATTGCACTTGTCTCCCCATTTTCCACTTACGCAACCATTTATACAAGCTCCTGATGCATCGCATATATTTTCATTACAGATATTTGGACATTTAATACATTTTCTATGATTAGCTCCAAAGGAAATGACAGGGTAATATCCACTTACACATTTTGTACAGTCCTTATAGTTGCCTGATTCATTCATGCTGCACGCTTGACAATATTGTTCTACATTATGACAATATTGGGTACAGTTCACACCATATGTTCCCTCTTTACACGTAATGTTGCAAAAGTCTCCAGTTTATCCTGGTTTACAGACAAAGCAACGTCCATCAGTAAATGAACATGATCCGTTACAACCAGATGGACACACGTGTGTACATGTTTTCTCATAGAAGCCACTCTTACAGTGTACACAATTTGATTCCGAAGTACAGTTTGAGCAATTCTCCGAGCAATTTAAAGCACAAAATGTACCGTTTAATGCAGAAGAGCAGGTATCGCATTTATCCCCTGTATACTTAGGCTTGCATCCCCCAATGCAATGCCCATTTCTGTGTGTACATTTACTATCCTTGCAGCTAGGTGGACAACTGTATTGGCAATATGGTCCGTAATATGCGTCGTTTTTACACCGTGAACAATATGTGTCTGAGATACAGAGTCCACAATTACTAGGGCACGTGTTGTTACATTCATTACCATACTTCCCATCTTTACAAGCATCACATTTACCTGCGACAAAATTCGCTGAACTACAAATACATTCGCCTGAGAGCGGCGAACAGGTATTGTTTAAACATCCTTTTCCACATGATAAATGGCATGTGTTTGTATATTAACCAGGTTTACATTCCGTACATTCTTGGCCATTAACACATGTTTTGCAATTTTCCAGACACTGTCCCGTGCATTTCTCGCCATAATACCCACGTTGACATCCTTGTACACATGTTTTATCTGAATCACAAAGGTTATTTTTACAACACGAACATTCTCCACATGCCTGCAAAGACACTCCTGAAAATATATTTAGGTCCGTTTCTTTGTTAATAAGTTTCATAAAATATATTAAGCTGGTTGGCAAGGATTAAAATGAGTTTTGCTAAACATGTGAATTGTAAAGGTATCAATAGGTGTTTTTAATATCCACCAAAGGATGCTGAAATGAGTTAACATCATCAAAATAGCATAATGTCATTTTTAACTATATGCATGGATGCATTGAATTTATAGTAATTGGGCAACTTTAAGCTTCAAATGATATGCATTTGTTGATGATATTATTTCGCTGTATTCCAATGTTAACTTTTTGATAATCGGTTTGCTTTTACTATAAAATAGATTGTCTTCTTCTTCACTACTTAACTAGTGAAAAACAACTTACCAAACTGACATATAAGCATGAAAAACGCTGATGATCTTATTCCTATCATTTTGTAACAAATATTCTCTGAACCGCTTGATAACGTAAATTTCAGTTCAATAAATGAATATTGTTTTTTTATACAAAAGCTGTTAACACGAAAGATAAAGTACAGTTAAAATATCAAAGAAAAAATGCAAATAATCTAAACGTTAATACAGATCTAATTAGTCTACTTTATTATTAAACATTTGTTGTGCACATGGAAAATTACCGTTACTTTGGTATACATTTGTATTTAATGTCCATACATAAACTTATTCATGAATTATTACAATGTTTAATTATCAAACTATGTGCGATATATAATCCTACACCTCCTTGAAAATATGTGTTTTTTATGTTTAAGCTTTATGTTATTACGATAATTAACTGCTCTTTCAAAAGAATGTGTGCATCTCTGAAATATTTTTGAAAAACACAGTGGAAGAAAATCTAAATATATTTCTACGTAAAAACTTTCAAGTAAACATTGTTAAAATGAAAACATACATTTACATTGCATCTGTACATGAAGGAAGCAACTGATACTGGAAGCGGCGGTGAGTATTACTAAGTCTATTTTCCACAAAAAAGACCAAACTTAGAAAAACAAATCTTGAATAAAGTGGAAACACAATTTTACTCGTAGGTTCGTTGCATTAGTGAAATAAATGAAACATATAACCGGTATAATAATAAATATATAAAGTATCATGACCAATTCCAAATTATTTGGCTTGATTTTCCTTAGCTAGAAAGAATCAAACAATAATAACAATTATTATTTGATACAGATGTTTTGTATCTTCAAAGCTATATCATCAAATTAACTATTTGTCTATATCAGTTATCGTATAAAAACATTTTTTTAATATTTTTAAACCTGTCATAGAAACAGACGTATTTTTTCTTAAATTTAAGATGACAATGTTGAAAAGTTTAAAGGCCTAGTTAAGACGGAAGACTATTGTGGTCTTTTCAACTTGGTCGATTTAATTAATATAAACACTTAAACATAAGATTAATTCATTACTGTAAAAAATGATAACAAATACCTCTTAAATTATAAAATATCCTGATATTTCATGTGTTCACTTCGTCTGTACTATTAATCTGAAAAGTTTTAAAGAATGCAAGGTAACTTCCTTGTTCATTCGATCCTGACATTTATAAAAACACATTTTGTATTATATTTGTCAAAACTCTAATTTGATATTCCTTTCATTATCTGTGTACTGTTGAAACATATACACCAACAATACTTTCTAAAAAGTTTTAAAGTATGCGCGGTAACTTCCTTGTTCATTCAAGTATGTAGTTTTAAATATATATTTTGTATAATATTGTTATAGCTCGAATTCGCTATTCTTTTCATTATGTGTGTAAATCAATATTGACATAAAGGAGTGTCGGTAATTCATACATACAAGTATACTATTTCTCGTCTATTTCTATAACCTTAACCATTATTAATAAATATACATTCAACATTTAACAACGTTACAGCTTGAATGTAGAGTGTTCGCTTCATGAGTGAAGAGATCCCTGGTTCGAATCCTGGATGAAGAAATTTTATTATCATTATTATTATTATTATTATTATTATTATTATTATTATTATTATTATTATTATTATTATCATTATATTTCTTCTTCTTTTTCTTCTTCTTCTTATTATTATTATTATTATTATTATTATTATTATTATTATTATTATTATTATTATTATCATGAATCATTTTATATGTTATTTATCATATTAACTGAAGGAACTTTATTGTAATTGTTAAAACTGCGAAACATAGATAAACTGTGTTAGTTTATGAATCAGATCGAAGAAAAAAAAATACAAAAAAAGTTGTACATGTAGGAGATGAATACTTGTTTGCCCTTGTCCACTCAACTGTATCCTTCTCAAACTTAAATTTAATGATCGCCCTTATTCTGTTTTCTAAGAGTCAAAATTATATTCTTTTGAAAGGTGTTTGTCGGCTTTTTACGCGTTTTTTTTTTCTTTTTGAAGCGTTATAATTAACCACATTAATTGACGTGGTGAATCCCTCCGCATTAACAATTCCTTCCTTGATGAAAGATATTCAAGAAAGTTTTTTTATTTGTTTTGTTGTTTTTATTATTTGAGTCATTTTCTATTAATGAATATTTACAAAACAATTGCATAATCTATGATATTTATTTAGTTTCCATCTATTGACTTATTTATTTTCTTTTTCATATCAGCACATCTACCATTTTAACCAGTTTAACATGAGATGAGATGCCTAAACTGGGATTTGAACTCTAGAACTCTCGCTTCTTAAGCCAGCATGTAAACCCCTCGTCCACGGTGAAGTCATAAGATAACAACCTGAAGAAAACAATATCATTCTAAATTAGGGTTTGTAATTTCGACATTTTTTGTTCACGGTAAACCTGGTGTTTAACACTGATGTAAATAATCATAGAGTTTAAAATTAGCATGTATATCTATAAGAATAACACTATATTAGAAATCTTTGACCAATCGGGAACTATTTTTTCTTTACGAAAAATTAATGCGCCTGTCATTTGACAATCTTTACGCAATAATCTCCGCTTAACTTTTCGGCGTTAGTGTACATAGAGGGAAGTAACCGATTTGAGGAGATTAGACTATTTTCGGTAATTGCAATTAAGCACATCATGATCTGAAATCTCGCTACCTATATTTGTTGACGACCCAAACAAATAATAATTATGGTATCCGATTGTAAGCTCTCTTTGACGTGTAATTGTTTTATTTTTTTAATGAAACTCTAATACTGTTAATAAACACTGTAATTGAATGCTTAGAAACTCGTGGCCACGACTGGGCTATCTCGTGGTCACGACTTAGTAACTCGTGGCCACGACTTAGTAACTCGTGGCCACAACATAGTATCTCGTGGTCACGACTTAGCTATCCCGCGGCCACGACTATGTAACTCGTGGCCACGACTTAGTAACTCGTGGCCACGGCAAAGTATCTCGTAACCACGACTTAGCTATCTCGTGGCCACGACAAAGTAACTCGTGGCCACGACTTAGTAATTCGTGGTCACGACATAGTATCTCGTGGCCACGACAAAGTAACTCGTGGCCACGACTTAGTAACTCGTGGTCACGACATAGTATCTCGTAGCCACGACTTAGCTAACTCGTGGCCCAGACTTTGTAACTCGTGGCCATGCACGACTTAGCTAGACAAATAAAAACACACATATGTCACCTTTGTACTACCATAGTTTCTTTATATATAAAGTCAATGACTAATGTGACTCATGCAATTTCTATAAATATCTTTCGGAATTAATAGTAAGTATCTAATTGACAAAAGGTGTGGGACTGTCTATATAATTGTGTTGTTGTATTTTATCTTAAACTTTTTTTCTAAATCAGGTATTGGTCAGTTACTATTATTATAGACACATTTTTGAAATGTAAAGCTAAACAGCTAGACAAGTACACTTTGACATTGTGAAATAAAAGATCTGTTTGGATCAATTAATATGGGTCATGCGTGTAAGCTCTCTCTTAAACACAACGAATTGAGTTTAAATGTGAAATTATACTTTAACGGAAGACTGAAGATGTAAAAAAAAGGTCAAGTTTAATGAATGAATGAAAAAGGAAGTGAAATTTATATTACAAAAAAAACACGCTACATTGTTAAAAATTATCGGATCATCTTCTCGGATTACTAATTTGTTTTCACTTTTTTATCAAGCGGAGTGATTTAATACCTAAAATTCATCATTTTCATAAATTTGTTTGGACATTTAAGTGCACTTTCCAAGGTAAATATTTAAATCGCCATAGCTGATTATGTAGCAGTATTCTATCGGCATACCACACGCTCCATGGATTTATTGAGCTATTATAAATATCACAAATAACTCTGAAGAAAACAAATGTCATCTTTCCATCACGCAAAATGTGTCAATAGGTATACATTTATTTACAATATCCGAAATGTATTTGTTTTAGTATGTCTGTCAAACACATTGTGCTTATCATTTTTCAAGCAATTATGATACCACCTGTTGCTTACTGTTTATTAATTCTTACTTTTTTCGTTAGTGACAATATTCAAATGCAGGTTTTGATTTTGTCTATTTGATATTCATATAACTCTGAGTATTAGATATATTACTATATATATATATATATATAAATCGTTTTGAACACAATGACATTCTGAAAAATACTTAAGCCCTACCGCAGGTATAACATGCTGTAAAGTATTAAAAATATCTTTTTCAAAGTTCATAGCTTATACTGTAATAAAAATTCAATACCGTTTGTATGAAGTAAAAAGGGCAGATAAATTCAACTTAAAAACAGGCATATTCTTCTTTTTTATCTTTCTATAATTGTGAATTTGAACGAGCATATTTTAAAGCTTTAATTATCCTTATCTTTATGTAGTTGAAAGTAATAATTATTTCAACTTTACTTTAAAAAAATGTCAAGTTTTTTTTGTAAGGTTACAGCTTGACTTCAATAAAAAAAATTAAGAGATCACATTACTTAAAACGGGCGTTATCACAGTTATAGTTTTTTACCTAACTTAAAATAGTGAGAATAATGAATCCCTATAGAACACACGAACGATTTATTTACAGTTGATATCCGTTGTACCATCATGGCGAGGCAAGTCCTGGTGTTTCTGTTTACAGTATTTTACATTGGTAAGATAATTGAACTATGTAAAAACAAGTACTCTTACTACATGTTAGATTACAGTGCTAACAAGATGCATTCAATGTAAACAAAATTGTAGCATATTTTTCTAAGAATGTTAAGTAAAGGATATACAACTATCATAACTTTTGAATATTTTTTTTATAAAATATTTAAACATTTCAATCATTTTTAATAAGTTTAAAGTCGTTTCTTAAAAAATTTCAAAACAAGAATGTTCCTGTTATTTAAAATTCATTAATATTGTATGCCAACTGATTATCAAGTAGTAAATTCCATAGATTAACAGGTTTAGCAATGATTCCTTGCACTCAGTAAGGAAACAAATTAAGTTTTATTACAGGTTCTTTTGAACGTTTTTTTTTCCAAAATCAATATATTATTTTGTGGATATATAATTATTATTCAAATAAATAAACAATAATAATTAAACCATTTAAATTAGTTATTATTATGTATTTATGGTAATAAAAAAAACCTTTGTCAAGGAACATAAAAGTAAAAAGTCAACCAGACATATGATTTTGTAGGATTATCGGTGCAGGCGTGCTCAGAATGCGAATGCTGTAAAAATGGACATCTGTCTTGTGATTCAAATAAAATTTGCATAAGTGGATGTAAAGCTGGTTATTATGGCGAGAAATGCACAGAGAAGTGTCTTGAAAATTGTAGAAACTGTGCTAATGGTAATGAATGTACAGAGTGTCGACCTGGTTATTATACCAACAAATGTAAATTACTATGTGGGAAAGGTTGTGTTTACAATTCATGCTCACTTTCATCAGGAGAATGTTCTTGTAAATCGGCTAATTTTGTCAAAGGTAGATGTGAAACTTGTTTGGGAAATAAGTATGGCGATGAATGTAATAAAACGTGTCCAAGTAACTGTGGCTCTTGTATATCAGAAACAGAATGTTCATGGTGTCAACACACGGTTTATTACGGATCATATTGTCAGTATAGATGTTCTGTTGGTTGTGTCAATGGCAGATGTAATAAAGGAAATGGACATTGTACTTGGGGATGCAAATCTAATTTTGTCGGAGATAAATGTGACATGTGCTCGCCTACATTATACGGACCCTTTTGCGATTTGAATTGCACAGAAAATTGTTCAGCATGCTTTTCGAAAACAAATTGTACAAAATGTAAATCAGGATTTTATGGAGAATTATGTACAAATACCTGTCCGTTTGTTTGTATAGGAAACTGTTCTTTTGCTGATGGACGCTGTCTTGAGTGTAAACCAGGTTTTTCCGGAGACTTTTGCAATATTGCATGTAACGATGGAAAGTACGGTGTTGATTGTTCGAAATTATGTCGTGATAAAGATGTGAATTGCCAAATGTGTATTGTAAATCAATTAGGTGACTATGGTTGTTGCACAAAAAATGTATCAGCAATGATAACAGACCGAGAAGGCTTTAGCGTGGGGACACTGATAGGCTGTATAATTGGATCATTTCTCGCTGGTGGTATTGTTGCAGTGTCAACTTTGTTTGCCTGCATTACATTGAGGCGAAGGTTTGTTTCATACTTGATATTTTTCATCATATTTGTATTTAAATTTTAAGATGCCTGTTATTGTACTGCTATTATGAATTATTCATCTTCATAATAACTTGCGTTTAAATATTCCAAAACAAGATTTAGAGTATTTTCTTTGCTGCAAGATTTTATTCTATATATTTCCATTATTATTTATTTGTAGGTTTGGAAAAAAAGGAGAAACAGAAAACAATATAGCTCCTGGTAAATATAACATCAGTGGTATATTGCAAATTCATTAAAACGTTCTTGTTTTTCTAAATTAAAATAAACTCAGGAATATAATTAAGACATGGTTTTCCACCAATTTTAAATATGAAACTTTGTTTATTTTCATGAGATAGCATCGTTAAAGTCATTCTTACATATAAATAATTATATGTTATAATAAATTAATTTGATGATATACCCTAATACGGGTTCTAAGAAATAACGTAAAGACGCCCTTTACAAATAAGTTGCGTGATAAGAATGACGTCATATGTTAATAACGAATCAGATATTATTTATATTTCATACAGATATCACACATGAAGACGGCTCTCCTGTTGCATATGACGATTTTAATTCACGTGTCGACATAGCATACAGTCAGATTTCTTCAAATCAGCAGATATCACCACAAGAAGCTGTTTATGTTAACACTAGATTTTAACGAACTACTAGTATTGACGATGATGTTTGTGACAAAAGAATCCTTTAGTAGTTTAAATAATTTGGTTAACTTTTGAATAATGCAGATGCTTTTCCCAAAGTAAAACTGAAGACTGAAAAACTTTTACACTATAAATGCAAAATATTTTTGATGCTTAAAGTGATATGATTGGTATGCACGTGTTTCTATTGACTGTGTAACTTTAAACATCGTAAATATGGTAGCAATTTAAAAGCAATGTGTATTCTGATCGATCAAATTTTTCGTTTTGTTAACACTATTTTGTGTTACGATTTATTATATAAATCATCCATGGTTAATATCAAACAATTTTTAACAAAAATATAAATTACCTAAACTTATTAAATAAATTAAAATATCAAATTAACATAATGACACATAATGGGATAAACTCTTGCAGCTTCTTGATTAAAATGTTATTTTTGTATATTCTTGTATAAAACGGAAAATAAAATATATATTAACTAATAAAAAGGAAAGGATGAAACACGGCGATCGGCCTTTATAAGGGTTTTTACATGTATCTAGATAAATCAACTGATATAACCTCAAAAAATACAGTAAATCTAGCATAACCCACGGCGATAAGCCTTTTAGAGGGTTATTTTCTCAAGTTAACCTACGTTGAAAGCCTCAGCTCACACAACTCACGATGATATGCCTGTTAGAGGGTTTTTATTTTAAGTCAAACAACGGCGATAGACTCAGGGAATATATTTAAGCTTATTAAACCTTCGGTGATAGGCCTTTAAGATGTTTCCAATCGCAAGAAAACCGACGATGATAGCCTCAGGGAATATACTCAAGCTCATATAACCAACAACATAAGCATTTAAGGGTGTTTTCATCGCAATTAAACCCACGCCGATAGGCACGGACAATTCAGTTAGGCAGACACAACCCGCAGTGATAGCCTTTTAGAGGGTTCTTACCACAATAACATGCACGGTGATACCTTCAGCGAATACTGTAGGGCTCGCACAACCCAATGTAACACATGTTACTAGCCTCATTGAACAAAGAAAAACTCACACACCCAATGGTACTAAGCCTTTTAGAGGGTTCTTGGCGTAATAAAACCCACAGTTAAAGCCTCAGAATTTATTGTATAGCTCATATGACCTACTGTGAACGTTTATTTTTAGAGCGTTCTTTCGCAATGAAACCCACGGTGATAGCCTCAGGAAATACTGTAAAACTCAAATAACACAAGGTTGCATGCTAATAATAGGGTCCCCGAGGAATAGAGTAAAGCTCACATTACCCATATGTGTATGCCTTTAAGAGAGTACTTATGACATTGTAGCACACGGTGATTACCTAATTAAATACTTTAAAGCTCACTAAACCAACGGTGATCGGGAATAAACCCACAGCGATAGCCACCGTGAAGGGAGAGAACTCTCACAAACTAAAAAGATAAGCCTTTATAGGGTTCCTGTCGTAATGAAACCTGCGGTGATAGTCAATGCAAACACAGTAAAGCTCTCACAATAAACGGCCGGCGTTAAGCATTTTTATAGCTTCTCACCTGCATGAATCCTACTGTTGTTTTTTATTTCAATCAAAAACAAGGTGATAGCCTCAAACACTATTGGTTATCTCATACAATCCACGGTGATAGACCTTTCAGAGGGTTTTTTCACAATGAAACCCGTGGTTACAGATATGCAGAAAAGCTCAAACAACCCATAGTGATAGGTCTTTAAGAGAGTTCTTATTGCAAAAAAACAGCGGTGATATCCTCAGGGAATAGGGTACAGCTTTGGCAAAACCCACTGTGAAAGACGGTATATATCGCAATCAAACACAAGGTGACAGCCTCAACGAATACTGTTAATCTCACACAACCAACAGTGATAGGCTCCTTAGAGGGTTCGAATTCAACGTAGTTAAGCTTAAAATGAAGATTTTATTGTGATTAATACACGTAAAGATGTAATGATAATTCTATGAAGTAAATAATGTTTTTGTCAATGATTAGTCAGTATCTAGTTCACAAAAATCATAGTCATTGTTTCCTGGTCGCATTTTCTTATCGGTTGCAGTGTCATATAATGCACTAGCTTTGTCATTTCCATGTTTATTCCCATTGTTGGAATTAAATACAGCATAATCGTTGCTTAGATGAGACATGGTTTTGTGTTTCCCTCCTTCTGCAGAGTCGTACACATCATCTGGCTGTGCCAGGTTTGATTTGCCGAAGCCTTTAGTGTTGTCAGATCTTACACTGAGTACGGCATATTCATTATTGCTACTTAAAGGTTGTTTGTTCTTTTTGTTGTCATGCGTTGTATCATATACTTCCTCAAAACATTCGTTTTCTTTCACAGGCGACTTTCCTTTGTTTACCACAGCATAATCATTGTTGCCACTTAACGGTTTGTTATCGTGTGCAATATCACAAACCTCAAAACTCTTTCTTTTCTCATTGGCAGATGTTCCTATGTTTACCACACTATAGCCATTGTCAATAGCAGGTATTTTTTTATCACCGTCATATGCAGTGTCATATTCTTTCCCGGCATCACCACCAGCTTCCTGTTTTGGTTTGAAAGGCTTGGCGTATATAACACCTGGAATAAACGATAAAATATTGAGTATTATACATGTATATAACCCAACAGATACAGGAAAAGTGATCAAATTATCAATATAAAAATTATTCTTTAAACAAGAAATGCCTCTCCACAGGTTTTTTGGGGGGTATTTAAAGGAAGAAAAATTGTAGAATGTAAAACAAAACAATTGAAACAAACCTGGTTCTTCTTCGTTATTTCGTTTAGGAATCTCTTTCAAATCAAGTTCATTATCGTTTTCCTCGCATTTTGACTGAGCGGATGGTTTTTGTCTGAAATAAAGAAGCCGAAAATGATTATTGTTAATTGCTGAAAATGAACATAATATTCATTAAACAGAACGCGGTAGTTGTTCTTTAAACAATTTAAAATAATTTGACAATAGTCCAGCACCGTTTTATTTAATATAACAGTTAAACAAAGATTCAGATATCTTGCCAAACGTTAAATTCTGCTTTAATCTTACGGCTTAAAAAGCTAGGCTTTGACAAAATTAAAACATAAGATGTAAATGAACAAACAACAATATATTTCGAAACAAAAAATATTTGGAACCAATCAGACTAGAGGATATACCTTCTATTCCGTTTTATGAAGCAAATTACTAGGATCACCAGCAAGACTTTAACAGCAACACCAGCACCGGCAGATGCTACAATAACAATGTTTTGTTTCTTTTCTTCTGATTCAGCACGTTTGATAGCTAAAAATAAAGAACAAAACATTCAAATGAATTGTTTTCAAATAAGTGATGATCTATTTAATTGAACAGAATTGGTACCATCAGAAAAGAATAGTTAAAAAGGAATTGAGGCTTCAGGTATACGGTTCCCAAGTTTAAATCAAGAAAAAAATAACGGAGCATATTTATATAAAGAGATAGTATAATCAAATATATTTAATATCTACATTTACCCAGAACACATTTCAGTCCTTCATACCCGCCAATACAACCATGCAGACATTCGGCTGTTATCTGGTTGCAAGTAACATTTACAAAGTGATTGCTGCAGGTGTCGTTACATTTGTTTCCATGAAATCCGTCTGTGCATCCAAATGTGCAATGTCCGTTTATGTCGTCACATATCCGCTTGCTTTCATTTGATTTACATGTATCAGCACATCTATAGTCGCAAAACGATCCATAGTGGTTCATTACACATCCTCCTAAGCATTTACCAGTTTCCCAGTCGCAACTTTGGTTGATACATGTCTTACTACATTGTTTATCACAGTGTTCCCCATATTTTGTGATCGATCTACATCCTCTTAAACATTTCCCTGTATCTTTGGCACAAGTTCGGCCATTGTCCGTCGTATTGCAGTTTGAGTTACAGTTGTGTGAACAGTCTTCTAAGAAAGTGTCCTTAGTACATTCCGAACATTTACCATCCTTCTGATCGCATTCTACACAGTTTGTTTTGCAATCTATCTTGCACTTATCTCCCCATTTCCCTCGAACGCATCCCTGTTTACATGATCCTGTTGAATTGCATATATTATCTTTACAGTTATGTGGACATATTTTACATATGTTATAATTATATCCAACGGGTGTTACCGGATAGTAGGCATCGTTACACATTTTACAGCCACCATAAATACCGTTTTCACCTGTGTTACACTCTTGGCAGTAACTGTCTACATCCTGACATAGTTTGGAACAATTAACACCATATGTCCCATCTTTGCATGTGCTGTTACAAGATTCTCCGAATAATCCCGGTTTACACACTATGCATCGGCCATCAGAAAGTAAACAATTGCCATTACAACCATGTGGGCAGGTTTTTGTACATGTTTCACCGTAAAAGCCGGGCTTACACTGTGTGCAATTTGTTTTTGAAATACACGTATAACAATTCTCTGTACAAATTAAATCACAAGTATAACTGTATAATCCAGGCGAACATGAATCACACCTTTCCCCTTTATAACCAGGTTTGCATCCCCTCAAACAATGTCCATCACCTTTATTACATATACCCTCGTTGCATCCTGTTGAACATTTGTATTGACAAAATGTTCCATAACGGACAGTGTTTATACACCATAAGCATTGTGTGTCTTCGCAGATGTCACAGTAACTTGGACATGTAATGTTACATTCATCACCATACTTATCATCTAAACACTTATCACATTTACCTTCGACAAAATGTGTTGACCTACAAGTGCATTCTCCTGAAATCAATGAACAAGTATTGTTGACACATCCTTTTTCCGCATTTTATATTACACGTATTAGTAAAATAACCAGGTTTACATTTTGTGCATTGATAACCATTACCACAAGTTTTACAGTGTTCTAGACACTGCCACCTGCACTTCTTACCATAATAACCGGCTTGACATCCATGTAAACAGTTTTTATTGGAATCACAAAAATGCTGCCCATCATTACAGCACGCACATTCTGCACATCTCTGCATCGATACTCCTGGAAAACACATTAAGTTATCTTTTTCAAAAAGGGTTTGTATCATCAGAAAGAATTTACATAATGCAATATACACTTTATGCATGGTATTGAAAGCATTTCATTGAAAACCATATGACAATATATGTAAGCATAGAATAAGTTTTAATTCGCAATATTTCATCATATACCAGAAATATTATCTGAAATTATATAGAATGTTTCAAGTTATGTTCTACTTTCTGCAGAATATGATACTTTGTATATAGGTGTAAGACAGAAACTCGTTTTTGTTTGTTTGTTTTTTTAAAAATGTGGTTTGAACCTTGATTGTTGGTTTAATTGGTATGGTAAAAATATAATCTTGAATGTTGTTAGTTTTAAAATTTACTTTTTAAATTCGACTTACCAAACTGAAATATCAACATGAGAAACACTGATGAAGTAATTCTTATCATTCTGTCATCATGTACACTGAAATAAATATGGTAGTTTTTTCAACACCACTTGATAACGGAACATTGTTCACGTCCTAAATGTTTTACCTTTATTTACTCACGTATCAAACATGAAATAGAAAATACAGTAGGAATACCAAAGAAAAAAAATTAAATTTTAAACATTAAATTCAATTCAGACCTTATTTGTCTGCATTTATTATTGAATATTTGCTGTGCACATGATAAAAGATACTAACGATGAATCATTGTTTGGTATATTTGATACTCATAATTAAACGAATTCATAAATTATTAAAATGTTACAGCTTGCTATAATTCTACACCACTTTTGTATTAACTTTCAGCTTTATAGATATAATAAACAGGTTACTTTTCAAAAGAATGTGACCATCTCTTATAAGGAACATTTTTGAAAAACATTAAAACATTCAAACTTATAAAACATATAACAGGTATAATCTAAATCTTAAATTCTTTACATAATTCACAATGAATTAAAGTGTGTACACAAGAAGAATACAAACTATTGATATACACTCCATGCTTGAATGAACAAGGAAGTTACCTTGTCTACTTTAAAACTTTTAAAAAGTAGTTTGCTTGACTAACCTTTAAAGTACCATTGAAAGAACAAAACAACTATTACAATCATTATACAATATGATTCAGATGTTTTGTGTCTTAATATCCATTTCATCACATTAACTAGTTGTCTATATTAGTGAAACACGAGTTTTAGTCGCATTTATAGTTCGTTCATGTTTTTAAAACTTGACATAGAATAAGACGTTTTAATTTGTTTTTTTTAAATGACAATGTTGAAGAGTTTAAACAATTAGTAAGAAATTAAATGCAAGACTAAGTGTAGTATTTTAATTTTTTTCAATTTAATTGATATGATTTAACACCCAGACATTAAATAAATTGATAACTGTAAACATTTTAATATCATATACCTCTTAAATTACTAGTTATCCGCGAGCTTCCACTTGTTCACTTCATATGCACCAACAAAAGCAAGGTAACGTCTTTGTTCATTCAAGCATGAAGTTTATAAATATACATTTCGTTCCATATATGTTATAGCTCGTATTCGCTATTTTCATTTTTTGTGAATTGTTGAAACATACACATCTACATTTTTTAAGTTTTAAAGTATTCTAGGTAACGTCCTTGTTCATTCAAATATGAATTTTTAAATAAATATTTTGTATGCTACTTGTTATAGCTCGAATTCGCTATTTCTTTCATTATCTGTGTAAATCAGTATTGACATAAAGGTGTGTCGATAATTCCTACATAAAAATATACTATCTTGCGTCTATTTTTATAACCTAAACCATAAGTCATAATTATCCATTAATTTTTTAGCAGCGTCAGGGCGTCAATGTAGAGTGTTCGCTTTTTGGGTGAAGAAATCCCTGGTTCGAATCCTAGATGAGGAAATTTTATTTTTCTTCTTCTTATTATTATAATTGTTGTTATTGGTTGTTGTTAGTAGTAGTCGTAGTAGTAGTAGTATTGATGGTAGTGGTAGTGGTAGTGGTAGCGGTAGTGGTAGTGGTTGTGGTAGTGGTTGTAGTAGTGATTGTGGTAGTGGTTGTGGTAGTGGTAGTGGTAGTGGTAGCAGTAGTGGTAGTGGTTGTGGTAGTGGTAGGGGAAGTAGGAGCAGTAGGAGCAGGAGCAGTAGTATTATGATTCATTTTCTTTGCTATGTAATATACCAACTAGAGAAGCTTTATTGTGACAAATGCGAAACTGTGTTGGTTTATGAATCAGGTCGAAGAAACAATAACAAGATATTAAATTTCACATTCGGGTAATTTACTTCACAAATGGTCGTTCACAAATGGTTAGTCTTAGACTTTGGTTTTTTATTGAAATCAATTGTATCTGAATGTCTGTCGACAAATAGCATTCAAACTTGTTTAAGGTTAATGCGGGTAGATTGCAGAGGTCTGCTGTTTTAGTAACATTGATTGATGTCTAAAACGTACTTTCTGTCAAACGCAAGTTGTAGGAGACAAATACCATTTTGCCCTTGTCTACTCAACTTTATCGTTATTAAAAATAGTGTTAGTTATCTCCCTTCTTTTGTTTTCTTAGAATCAAAATTATATTGGTTTGAACGATGTTTGTCGGGTATTTAACAAGGGTTTGTCTATTTGATTGGGAATAATCAATTGCCTAGCCTTACTTGCTGAATTTCTTCCCATCAACCAATCGTTCCTTTAATGATAGATGTTCATGAAATATTGATTAAGCTTTAAGGTAGACCATGGGTAATGGAAACTGAAAGTAACCGTAAAATTGACAACATAGGACAGTTAAAGGTCACCTGTATGCGAAATTTAAATACAATTTATTGATACATTACCGAACTTAAACTTTGCTGTTAGAAGGGCTATTTATTAGAATTGGAAACTCAGAATAATCTATGATATCATCATTATGAAAACTGTTTTCCTATTGCTTATTGTTAAGAAACAAATAATAACATTACGGTAACAAATTACACGAGCAAAATAATTGCTCTAAACAAAATGCGTTTCATATGTATAAAAGTGTTACCTTACCTCACCCACTTAAAACACTTTTTTGACCATTTGACTTTCACAAAAATACTTATTCAAAATATCCCTACAATAAACCATTATGAGGGGATGTTTTCAAAGCTTGCCTAAAAAAATTAAAAGTATATTGGTTGTTCATGCGAAATATAAAATACTTTTACCGTGTAGTTTTTATTATTTGTAATATTAAAACTGAAATAGATCTAATTTTATCTTAATCGTCACTTTCCTACACACCAGCTATAATGTTGTTTAACCAAGAGATAATCAAATACTGTAAAACAACTCTTGTTACCGATGTCTTATCTGACTTCAGACATGTAAAAGGATTAAATCATAAGCTAAATCTGCGACAATATGAATTTAAAACATAGCATTTATTGATGATATTAAGAGATATAACACAATAAGTATGGTTCCCACCTGTTAGCTATTTTGACGTATAATTATGTTATTTAATTTAAACATTTTAACCTTACACCGTATTTGAAAAAGGTTTGGGTCATGCTCAATGAGTATCTGCATAAAAGCTTCGTTGCTTATAGCTGTTAAGTATACAAAGAACTTTTTCGAATACAGTCTAACTTTCCAATGCGACCACGTGTATTAAGCAACTTTTGTCTTATGCGACCACTATAAATGCCCCTCGACAATTTTCTCTATATAGCTCTAATGAGTTAAGCGACTTTGCTCAACGCGACGGGCGACCGCTAGTTAGTCAGCAAATTCATATCAATCTTTTGATCAAGCGACCACTTTTAGGATTATCAAACACGGATAAGACTGCAGAAAGATTGTTAAAGTTCTCCTACCTGTCAAGCGTTTATGTTTTTAGAAAAAAACACAATATATAAATTTGTAAAAAACTATATTTCCCAAACCGTTTTTAGCGTATGCAAATGAAATTAATTATACGTGTGACGTGATCAGCAATTAAATACATTAATTACAATTAGAGTGTAGTTTGTTTATTTCAAATGAAAAATGCACCAAAGAAAGTGTCTACACAAATTAGATGTTACGTGTCGGATACAAGTAAAAGGAACGGAATACAGTAGCTAGAAAATTAACGGAAAATGTCAAACATGTACGTAGGGAATCAAAACTGTTTTGTCAATAAATATCATATGTTTAAGCTCACCTGAGATAGGTCAGGGTGAGCTTTTATGATCGTTTAATGTCCGTCGTCCGTCCACATTTGTTCGTTAACACTGTAGCGGTCACATTGTTGCCTCAATCATCATCGAATTTTTTCAGGATGCTTGTCTAGGTAATTGCTCGGATGAGTTCGAACGTGGGTTACCGGGTATCTCTGATGAAAAACTAGGTCGCAGGAGCTAAATATAGAAAAACATTGTTAACACTCTGCTGGCTACTGTTTTGATCCAAATATCCTGGAAATTGGTCTGAAAGTTTGTTTTGATGATTTCTAGGTCAAGTTGTAATATGGGTCACCTGGGGTCAAAAACTAGGCCATACCGCCGAATATGGAAAAACCTTGTTAACACTTTAGTGGTCAAAGTTTTGACTCACCTGTAATCAAACTTGTTCAGGATTCTTGTCTAGGTAATTGCTCGGATGATTTCGATGGGTCAGGTGAGCGATCAAGGGCCATATTTTATTTGAGCATCTATTGAGATGATCGGAGCAAATGAAGTTGCAACGAGGAAATATGTCATTTATAATTTTTTTACTTTTCTCATGTTTTGTCTTAAGAGACCGTTTTGTTAGGCGATCATTTTGGTGTTTCCCTTGCGCGGTCGATTAATACACGTTTGACTGTATATGTTTTTACAGGTATTACCTTATATCAATTTGAAATGAAAAAATAGATTTTGTATCAGGAAGAATACAATAACGTAAAGGAGAATCTTATTAAACATAAAAGTCCAATTCGTACCTAAACTTTTCAAATATCCAATTCTATAAATATGTGAGGTCTTCCTCTATCAGTAAAGCTGGAACGTCGCGATATGACCTACACTGTGTCGATGTGACGTAAAACCCAAAACAAAAAACAAAAAATCTATAAATATGCAGAATACCATCAAGTACAATTATATAGCTTTTGTAATCTGATGTGTATATCAAGAAATTGAAATCTTTCAAATTTAGTATACAGGTACATCAAATTATATTTCTAAGAATTGTCGACGCAAGCTTGCAAGTTATAGCTTGTGGTCCAAATCAGAATTGCTATCTTGGATGTCAAGACGACAATTATGGAAAAACATGTACATAGGATTGTGTGGAAAATTGTAAAGCATGTAACGAATGATAATGAATGTATAGCGAGCCTAACTGGATATTTTACTTAAACAAATGTATTGTTTCATGTGGAAAAGAATGTGCCAACAATACAAACTCGCTCTATATCGGAGAATGTCCCCGTCAATCGACTGATTTTACTCAGGGTAAATGTAACTATTGTTCAGGTTATAAGTATGGGGATGAATGTCACAAGATCTGTCCAAGTAATTGTGGCTAGTGTGCATCGTCTACAGAATGTTCATGGGGTACATATACTGTATATTTCGGAACATATTGTCGACTGATATGTTCTATTGAATGCTTTGATAAAAGATGCAATAAGGCAAATGGATATTGTATCAGAAGATAAAATCTGTTTATATCTGGGACAAATTGGACACTTGCTTACATGGTTAACATGGGCATTTTTGTGACTTAAATTGCTTCGAAAATTGTCTTACTTGCCTTTCCAAAACAAACTGCGCAACATGCAAATCAGGTATATACGGAAAAAAACATGTACAGGTATATGTTTGTTGTAGTGAAGCGATAATAAAGGATCAACAATGACATTCTACAGGTATACTGATAGAATCTACATTAGGGGCATTTATGGCTGGTTGTTGTGTTGCTTGGGGTGCTTTTTTGATGGCTTACATTGTATGGAGGGGAAGGTTTGTAACACATGAATTAAATAATGTTAATGCAAGTTCTGATAAATGTACATTTAAGAAGAATTATTTGTTTTAAATCATTCTTAGCAATACTATCCTTGCTACTTTACTTTAAAATTATTTTCACTTAATTCCATGAATTTATTTAATGCACTGTTATTAAAAATTATATAGATTGAATTTATAGTAAATCTGCACACAGCTCTGTATTCAAACCACTTTTTTGAAAGAATTATATATTATATTTATAACGACGTGTGGCATTTTGCATGTTAGTGTAAGATATGGCTGATTGTACTATTTAACTAATCCGCCGTTTCCTTAAACCACATTTCTTTTTTAAATCAGGACTATTTACAATGTTCACAAGTTGTATACCACGGCAACGTTAAGACATTTAATTTGTTAAATTTAGGCAAGGCTGTCTCTATGATTGGCTCAAATACCACTGAGTTTAAATGCATTTATAAATGTAAATTAGTAAAATTATAAGATTCTAAAAAATATGTAAAAGCGAAGGTTAATTTGGAGCAATGCAAATAAATTTTGAAAGACAAAATGCAGACTCGGTTTATTTTGGCTGGTACATGAGAGAAAATTATGGAAAGTACAATATCAATCAGTAATCTAAGGAATGCTGGCTGCGTTGGTTCCAATCCCGTCTTTTGAAAGCTGTTGTTTCAGTGCATAATAAACTTTACTCGTTGTTTAGTAGTGTTTGGTTCACGGGGCGGATTCTAGAATGTTTAAATAAGCTTATAGCTTTCAAAACAATCGAACTAAAGTAACACAATTTAACTAATCATGACCCCAAGCACCAATTAAGTGGGTTTTAATACAACACAATAAAAAATCCTAAAGGACCAGAAACTATGACAACACTTAAGTGAAATACGGGGCATCTTTTTACAGCTGCAAAAACTAATTTGACATCTGCTGTTATGAATCTAGAAAAAAGTGATCTCTCGGAAGCATTTATCACAACAAATTAACATGAAAATTGCAGACTCGATTGTGATTGAGTCTGTACATAAGATAACATTCCAAAATGCAACATTCCTCACGTCCCCTAGCTCCGGCTTGGCGGTACAAGCGGTACTCAATTTTCAAGATTTAAATTGCTATGATCAACGATTCCGAACCAGACAAATATTACAACACTGAAGTGAAGAAAAGGTCAGCCTTTTACAGCTGCGGAACCTGCTGCTGTGGAGCATAATAATTTGGAAAAGAGTGATCCTCGGAAGCATTAATAACAACAAAATTACATGAAAATTTCAGTCTCGTTGTTGATAGTAGAATCTGGAATGAAGGAGATCATTATACAATTGGACCTTATCCTTCTTATCATCACGTCTTCGGTTATAGTATTAACCTTTAAAGTGAATTATCCCCATTCAATTGCAAATGTTGAATATATATGTAAAAGTAATATTAACTTTATAATTTGCAAGATTGTTTTTGTATATTTTTTTCCACATGCAAAATTAATAGTCCATGTGCACTTAACTTCATGTTTTTCACCTATTATTTTTCAATTGTATATGTTTCTTCATATATTTAGTCAATGACTCCTGTGACTCATGCAAATTCTATAAATATCTTTTGGCAATTATAGGTAGTATTTAATTGACAAAATGTGTTGGACTGTCTATATATTTTTGTAGTTTTTGTAGTTTATCAAAAACATTTTTTCAATATCAGGTATTGGTCAGTTACCATTATTATAGTCAATTTTGTGAAATATATACGTGATAAACAAGCATAATTGGACCACAAAAAAGATCAGTTTGAATATATAATTATAGTTCATGCTTGTAAGCACTCTCTTAAACACAATGGATTGAGGTTTAATGTGAAATTGATTCTTTAACTGAATACTGAAGATCTAGAAGAATAAGGTCAAGTTTTATGAATGAATGAAAAAGGAAGTTAAATTTATATTACAAAATACACGCTTCATGGTTTAAAATCACCGGGTTAACTCTGATCATTTGCTCGGATTACAAATTTGTTTTTTTCTCTTTTTTTCAAGTGGAATGATACAAATACTCATTTATTGGATTTGTATGGACATTTAAGTGCACTACATGGTAAATATCTTAATAGCCATAGCTGTTTATGTAGCCAATATCAGAGGTGATTGCATCCAAGATAAAATAGCATATTTTCCTTAATATGTCTAGAATTTGAAGTCATTCGATTTAAAGGTAACTTATAAACATTTTTTTTTAAATAATTTAAACAGTACCGTTAAGTTCATTCAATAATTTTACAGTCGATTCCTCAATGAGTTGTAATATAGAATAGAATTACACATAAACTATACAAAAAACTAATATGATAAATAAAAAGTGTCGTCATAGAAAATAAATGTTTAAGATTTTGTTAAGTCCCTAAACTTACTCGGGTAAGAATCTCCAAACAATTATTGAAACAGGTCCCTAAATACAACAATCGATCTTTCACAAATATCATCACTAATAATGAGATGTAAGTACCATTTTTTTAGCCAAAGCGAAGGATTCATTACATAACAAAATATGGGCAACCAAAGGAAGTCATAGACCTATAAAACGGACCACGAGCGTCAAAAATGTCATGTATGTAATTTGCTTTACCAATCAAGGTCCTGCTATTCAAATTGCCGTACTCATGGGTAAATCTGTAAATACCAAAATTTACAAAGGCGATGTCCTTCATAAATAAAAGAAATGTTTCAAAAAGCGTTGAACCGCTGTAGCAACTGGTTTCCGTGGTGGCAGGTTGTTGCATGACAATGCTTTGACACATAAAGCGGCCATTGTACGATTTGAAACAGGAAAAGGCTGTCGACCTACCTCATCTTCCTTATTTGCATTTAAAAAATGACTAAAAGACTAAGACTTTGTATGTCACATGGTGGTGAGTATTTTGAAGGATTGAGATACTTATTTTGTCACTGTTTGTTAAGCACTTCTGAAAATTGACCCAGTTGCATTTATATTTGGACAACCCCCCTTATAATTTAGCTTAGTATTAAAATATCGAAATCTTGCGAAACGTCAAAAATATTCATTTAATACATCGGGCATATTCTTTGTCTGTCATCTTCTATTTTTTAATCAATAAATTCATTTGTACATTTGATAATCGGACAGAAAATTATTACCATATGATACTTGCAACATTATAATTATCGTATTATCACTTTCTGTTACAGTAGATGTTACATATACACAAGAATAAACACTCATATGCCTCAGTTAATGCAAACAAGTATCTACATTGTTACCTTCATTGCATTGCTTTCAACCATTTTAAAAACATTTGTAAGTGAAATTCGAGATAATTTAGATTTATTGAGTAATGAATTAATATATACAATCAAGCAACTGTAATGTTCACAAAACTATTCATATTATGTTCAATTTTGGATAGGGCGTCCGTTGCCGAGTGATTAGGGTCATTGATATCAAACCACTTGCCTTTCGTGGTTGTTGTTCCGTATTCCTCCAGGTACTTTGCATTTTGTTTCATGTGAGGAAGCTATCAAACTAGCTAACGGAACATCGTAGGTTATACACAGATGCCAGTTTGTGTGGGAAATAATGCGCGGATGGGCATTTTAAGCTTTTCTCGACCAGTAAATGTTATGTAAGCAAGAAATGAAACATTTGCTGTTAAGACGTGTAAATACGTATCGATGGCATATTGAAGTGTCAGTAATATCGTTTCAGTAACGAATTTTTAAATTATGATCACTAAACTGTCTCACAAACATTGACAAAATATATTTTATAACACAAAACTTACTTTTAACGACAGTAGAATTTGTAAACACATTAGAATTCAGAACAGAACTTTCCTTGGCAGCATTAAATAAAAAATATATGATAGGACACAAAAATATAATGTTCTTACTTTTTCCAGTTTAAATGTAAAGATTTCATAGTTTAATTATGTATTGAGACGGCAGATGATGTTATGAGTGTATGATTCATATACAAATGTAAAACGTTTGTGTTTTTTCAATAAAATCCCCTGCTTTACTGGTATTCTAATATTAGGAATGAACATTTCTCTTCTCGGATCACTGATTTAGTATACAGGTAATTTTTATCATTTGAATTATTTAATGTTTGATAATTAGAAAAAAACATTATATGTGTACAAGTTAAATTCTTTATTTGCATAGTTTTGCCATAAAAATGAATGTGTATGGACAATAAAGTGCATTTGCGAGGTAAGTTTATTAACCGCTATAGATCCTTCTTTTAGCCGGATTATCCGCCATTTACACCAGCTATAATAGACAGCATTGATGCATCAAGTGAAATTGATAATAAATATTCTATATTGCATGTTGAGTTCGCGTCAAGATGTGTGAATATAAATCATAAATAAATAATATTTGTTATAAATTTATTTGTTCATACATTCGCACTGTGCTATATTTGGTGAATTTGTAATAAATCAAACATTTTAAACAATCCAATTTATAATTAAGTTTATTTTTTATTTAAATCATCACCATAGTATTTAAAAGAAACGTTTAGTTTTTTTTTCATCCTGTATACGTTGTTTATTTATATTGTATCGAATGAAATAGAAGAAATAGTATTTTGCCGTTCATTGCCGAAACTTATGTTATATAAGATATATTAATCAAAGAATGTTTTTGTTCTGTTTTTGTTTCCAAATACAATCTGATGAGATTTGAACAATTCCTACATTGCGCCAGGGAAAGAGAAAAAAACACATTTGAAGAAAACAGTCATACATTTTTCATATTTGTTTGGAATCGTGAGTATTTATATATATAATTTGATACTAGAATTTTGTAGATTAACCATATTCCTACAAAATTTACGTTACATGTCCTTTTTTCGCCCTTTAAGACACTTGATTTCAGTTGATAGTAATAGTGATATATGTGCACATTTCATTATTTCACATAAAGTAGCAATACTTTAAACTTGAACTGCTATTTTACTTTAAAAAATTACTTGACAGAACGGGTATAAGAACATTTCACAAACAGTATATTTACATTGCTTTACAATCTTATTCATTTGCAGATTATTTTGGAAGTGCAATGACAGGATTTGCACATGTATTTCTGTTTACAGTACTCCAAATTGGTAAGACAGCACTATATGTAAAACAGATTAAAATTAAAACATTAAGGAACATAATCGTTTAAGGCCCCCGAGAGACGGCATATAGCAATTGAATTGTCCGTCCTTCATCGTTCCGTCCCTCCGTCCGGTAATCTTATTTATCATTCATCTCCAAAACCGCTGGGGGATTTCAATGAAACTTCAAAAATAGGTTGTTACTATGCCTAGATGTGCATAGTATCTTGACTTTCCGCTTGCATTTATTGTCTCACTTATTGCCCCTTAATGGACAATTTTCGAGTAAACTAAACTTGTCATTAATTCATCACCAAAGCGCTGGGGAATTTAAATAAAATTTCATGGGATTGAGTTTCACCAAGCGTAGTTGTGCATATTCTCTTAATATTCTACTTGATTTTTTGGCACAGTTATGGCCCCTTAATGGTCTATTTCTGAGTACACTGAGCTTGTCCACGCTACAGCTCCAAAACCGCTGGAGGGATTTCAGTGAAACTACACAGGATTGTTTGTTTGCATAGTATCTTGATTTTCCGCTTGAATTTGTTTCGCCCTTGATGTTTTTTTAGTAAATTCTTTTAGACTATTTCTCCTACACTTATAATTAACTTTCAAATAAAGGAATGATATTTATCAAACAACAGTTCGGCACATATTACCGGTATTTTGGCATAAATTGCGGATTTTTTTGTCAAAATTTCACTATGGGGGCATAAGTCACTTTTCAGCTCTTGTTTCAGCAATGAATCCATGATAAAAATTGAAATAAAATTTGAAATGCATGGTTTTATATATGGTTAGAAGCAATTTGTTTTTTGTTGTTGTTTTTTTTTAAAAAGTAATTTACAATCAAAAAATGTTTTTAAAGGATTATCGATGCAGGCATGTGAAGAATGCGGATGCTGCAAAGGTGGGCAACTGTCTTGTGATTCAAATAAGAATTGTATTTATGGATGTATAAGTGGCTATTATGACAAGAAGTGCACAGAGAAATGCCTAGAAAATTGTAAAAACTGTGTAAATGGTTATGAATGCACAGAGTGTCGACCCGGTTATTATACCAACAAATGTAATTTACTATGTGGGAAAGGTTGTGTGTACAATACATGCTCAGTTTCATCTGGAGGATGTTCTTGTAAATCGGCTGATTTTGTCACAGATAAATGTGATGTTTGTTCGGGAAAAAAGTATGGTGATGAATGTAATAAAACGTGTCCTGGTAACTGTGGCTCATGTATAACAGAAACAGAATGTTCATGGTGTCAACACGCGGTTTATTACGGATCATATTGTCAGTATAGATGTTCTGTTGGTTGTGTCGATGGAAGATGTAATAAAGGAAATGGACACTGTACTGGGGGATGCAAATCTAATTTTGTCGGAGATAAATGTGACATGTGCTCGCCTGGATTATACGGACCCTTTTGTGATTTGAATTGCACAGAAAATTGTTCAGCATGCTTTTCGGAAACAAATTGTACAAAATGTAAATCAGGCTTTTATGGAGAAACATGTACAAATACCTGTCCGTTTGGTTGTAAAGGAAACTGTTCCTTTGCTGATGGACGCTGTCTTGAGTGTAAACCAGGTTTTTTCGGAGACTTTTGCAACATTGCATGTAACGATGGAAAGTACGGTGTTGATTTTTCTAAATTATGTCGTGATAAAAATGTAAATTGCCAAATGTGTATCGTAAATCAATTTGATGACTATGGTTGCTGCACAAAAAAAATATCAGCAATTATACAGGACCGAGAAGGCTTTAGCGTGGGTACACTGATAGGCTCTATAGTTGGATCATTTCTCGCTGGTGGTATTGTTGCCGTGACAACTTTGTTTGCCTTCATTACAATGAGGCGAAGGTTTGTAACATACTTGATATTTTTCGTCATAATTGTATTTAAATTTATAAATGCCTATTATTGTTCTGCTATTATGAATTATTCAACTTCATAATAACTTGCGTTTAAATATTCCAAAACAAGATTTAGAGTATGTTCTTTGCTACAAGCTGTTTTTCTAAATATTACCATTATTATTTATTTGTAGGTTTGGAAAAAATGAAGAAACAGAAAACAATTTAGCTCCTGGTAAAAATAATATTAGTGGCATGATACAAATTCATTAAAACGTTCTTGTTTATCTAAATTAAAATTAAACTCAGGAATATAATTTAGACATGGTTTACCAATGATTTTAAATATGAAATTTTTGTTTATTTCCATGAGATAGCATCGTTAAAGTCATTCTTACATATAAATAATCCAATGTAATAATACATCAATTTGATAATGTACCCTGATTCGGGTGCTTAGAAATAACTTAAAGACGCCTTTTACAAATAAGTTGCGTGATAAGGATGAAGTCATATGTTAATAACGAATAAGATATTTTATATATTCTATACAGATATCGCACATGAAGACGGCTCTCCTGATGCATATGAAGATTTTAATTCACGTGTCGAGATAGCATACAGTCAGATTACTACAAATCAGCAGATATCACCACCAGAAGCTGTCTATGTTAACACTAGATTTTAATAAACTTCTTAGATTGACAATGATGTTTGTGACAAATGCATCCTTTAGTAGTTTAGATAATTTGGTTTACTATTGAAAAATGAAGATGCTTTTCCGCAAGTGAAACTGAAGACAGTATTTTTACACCATAAACACAAAATACTGTTTTATGCTTAAAGTGATATGATAGGTATGCACGTGTTTCTATTGACTATGCAACTTTAAACGTTGTAAAGATGGTAGCAATTTGAAAGGAAAGCAATGTGTATTCTGATCGATCAAATATGTCTGTTTTAATTCTTTTTCATTTGGTTAACACTAATTTTTGTGTTACAACTTATTATATAAATCATAAATGGTTAATATTAAACATTTTTTAACAAAATATAAATAACCTAACTTAAAATAAATTAAAATATCAAATTTACATAATTACATATAATGGAATAAACGTTAGCAGCATCTTGATTAAAATGATATATTTGTATATTCTTGTATAAAACTGAAGATAAAATATATATTTAATATCAAATCGATGTAGAAGCATGGTGATAGGCCTTTTATAGGGTTTTATCTAGGTAAATCAACAGATATAGCCTCAAAGAGTACAGTTAAGCTCATGTAACCAACAGCAACAGGGAACGCACTAAAGCTCAAATAACCAACAGCAGCAGGGTGTTTATAGTGTCATCGCAATTATACTTACACCGATAGTCGCGAAATACATTAAGGCTGACACAACCTGCAGTGATAACCCTTATAGGGAGTACTTATCGCAAAAACATGTTACAATGATAGCTTCAGGGAATAACGTTAATTTCAATCCAAGGCGATAAGCCTTTAAGAGGGTTCTTACCACAACAACACGCACAGTGTAAGCTTTAGCAAATACTGTAGGGCTCACAAAACCCATGGTGATAGGTCTTTAAGGGGGGCCTTTTTTGCAATAATTAATACGGTGATAGCGTTAGAAAATACAGTAAAGTTCACACAACCCACGGTGGCAAGCCTTTGAGACGGTACTTTCACAATGAAACAAATGTGGTTAGCTTCAATGAATACAGTAAAGCTCACACAACCAATGGTGATATGATTTTTAGACGGCTCTTAACGCAATGCAACCCCCAAGAATATCCTAAGTGAATACATGAAATCTAATACAACCAACTGTAAAAGAACTTTTAGAGCAATTTTATCGCAATATAACACATGGGAATAGCCTCCGTAAACAAAGTAAGCTCACATACACAACCCACCTTCGAGGGTTCTTAAGGAAATGAAATCCGCGGTGAGAGCATCAGAATTAAGGTAAAGCTCACATAATATACTGTAAAATGTCTTTCAGACGGTTCTTTTGCGATGAAACGCATTGTGATTGCCACATGAAATACTTTAAAACTCAAACAATACAAGGTGGCATACCTGTTACAGGGTCCGTATCGCAATGAAACCCACGCTGATAGCCCTGATGAATACAGTAAAGCTCATATTTACCATATTTGTTTGTTTTTAGAGGGTACATATGGCTTTAAAACACATGTTGATAACCTCATCGAATACTTTTGAGTTTTACGCTTACAAAATCTCACGTTGAAGGTTCTGATCGCAATGATACCCGCGATGACAGCCTCAGGGAATAGATTAAATCTCACACAATCCATGGAAATAGGTCTTTAAGAGACTTCTAATCGCAAAAATGAACAAACGGTAAAATTCTCCAGAATACAGTAAGGCTCACACAAGTCATGTAAATAGGGCTTTGAGGGCTTTATCGCAATGAAGTTCAAAATGACAGTTTCAGGAAATACAGCTAATCTCACACAACCCAAGCTCATCTTTACGGGTTCGTAATCCAAGAAAACCAACAGATGTTAGGTTCAAGGAATACATAATGCACCAAAGCTGTGCACAACACACAGTGATATAATATTTAAGTTTTTGCAACAAACCCATGGAAATATCCTCAGTGTAGGAAGAAAAGCTTTTACAAACCAAGAAGTTAAACCTTTTTAGGGTTACCTGCGGTGATAGTCAAAGGAAATACTGTAAAGTTTTCACACACAACGGCGGTAAGCCTTTTAATAGCTTCTTACCTGCATGAATCACACAAATAGTTTGTATCACAATCAAACACAAGTTGATAGCCTCAACAAATACTGTTAATCTCACAAAACCAACAGTGACATGCCTCTTACCGGATTCGATTAGCAATTAAACCAAAGGTTATAGCTTCAGGATATACAGTTAAGCTCACAATATGCATAGTTACAGGCCTTTAGAACGTTCTGATCGCATTTAAACCCACGATGATAGCATCGAGGAATACAGAAAGGCTTACTTATGAACCTTATAGAGGGCTCGTATTACATTGAAACTCACGATGATAGTTTCATGGAATACAGTAAAGCTCACACAACTAACGATCATAGGTCTTTTAGAGACTTTTTCGCAATGGACCCATGGGTATTGGCCCAGGGAATACAATAAGGCTCCACAATGGTAAGCTTTAAAGAGGGTTCTTAACGCGATGAAAGCTGCTAGGTTAGATAGGACTTTACGAATGATTTAAGGAGATAATGTAAAGCCTTAGGAGATAATGTAAAGCTCACACAAACCATGATGGTAGACAGGTTTTTATCTTGATTAAACCATCAGTAAAGGCTAAGAAAATACAGTTAAGGTAACCCAAAACGATAAAGAAAATCAAACTTTCTAAATACAGCACAACAGGGCTTGAAAAGAGTTTATAAGAGTGTTTTTTTTCTTCTATAATGTAAAGCTCGCATAACCCACTGTGATAGGCCTTTCAGAGGAAACTTATCGCAATGAAACTCAATGAGATTGCCTCAAAGAATATAGTCCGGCTAACACAACCCATGGTTTTATAACTTTTAGAGGGTTGTTATCTCGGGTTCACCCACGGTGATAGCCTCAGGTTTACATTGAATGTCACAAAGGCCTCGGTTAGACCTTTTCGAAGATTGTAATCATAAGTACACCCAAGGCGATAGCCTAAGAGGTTACAGTTAATATCAAAGACCCACGGTGATACTTCTTTTAGAGAGTTTCCCATGGTGCTAACCTGGGGGAATACATTTAAGCTCATCAACTCATGGTGATAGGAGGGTTCTTATCTCAACTTAATCCACGGTGGTCGCCTTAGACAATACAGTGACATAAAGTTTTCCCTAAATGATTAACTGAAAGTTAACAAAACAGAATCCCTAAAGAACTCCAAAACGACAATTGAAAATGTCTGTTCATGGACGGTACAGGGAGGTGCAAGGTACGGTCCACTCCCCTAGCACCATTACAGAGAATTTAACATTAAATGTTTCTGAATTTAAGAAGGATCTGGAAATGTGTTCATACGGCACTTAATATTTAACCTCCAATATGACACGTTAGAGTTTACAAAATCTTCCTTAAACATACAGTCGGCATTGTGTGGAGAGAACACTCAAGGGACTGCCAAAAAGTGGTTTCTTAATAAAGTTGTCTCTAAATAGAATTCTGGAAAATTCAAGACTTAATACAGGGTTTCCTTTTTAATACTACAGTAACTATACTTCTTCTATACTAATATTATGTATGTATTACATTCTCATAATTACATGTATGCCTTTTTTTTAAAAAGTAATCAATATGTGTTTTTTGTTGTTTCTTTTTTTTTCTTTTCTTTTTTTGGCACCTACACCGACATAAAGGAAAGGCTCAGACTGAACAGTGAAGTAACCTTTCAGTAATGTTTAGTCCACTATATTTTACGTTAAGTTTCCACTAGAAACGATGCCATTTCCTATTTACTCAGACTCAATTCCACGTACGATTTCCTAATTCGATTTCTCCGGTCCTTTTAGTTGTCTGTCATTTTTTCGCTTGTTCCGACGTCATTTTCGATCTGTTTCTTTTTACAGTTAATGACTCTTAGCACATGACAAATGCGGTGTTGTAGTTTTTTATTCCCCTCACAAAATATGGCTTAGTAAATGTTACGATCGGGAAAATGTTTCTTTAGTTTTCAGCGATTTTTTATCCGATTTTGAAACGATTGAAATTGTAAATTAATTCGTTTTTGAACGACGATTGTTTGTCACGGCCGTTTAATAGATACTTAAACACTTAATTTCGTATATTAGGGCCGCCATCTAGTGGACGCTGGCCGCAATCTAAAAATGTGGTTTAATAGAATGAACTTACATTGTAAAAACATCGGAAGGGATTTTGTGCGGATGATTAATAAAAAAGTCGCTTAATTAAGGTTGACACAAGTACGATGCTGACTGTATATTAAGATGGTTGTTTTCACATGCGGTTGTTCGACTCAGGTACCCGTTTGTGTCTGAAATATTGCACGGAAGGGCTCCTGATGTCTTCCTCCACCAGTGAACTTCGCCAAATGACCTATATTTTGTCAGTGTGACCTAAAACCCAATCAAACTAACAAACAAACATGCACTATAAATGTATATTATATGAACTAAATATAGATGTAAGCTCTTTTGTCCAAACAGTAGTCAATAAAACTAGTTAATAAATCATAAATACTTGGTGATGTATCATTTTCACTGGTTAAATCGGATTTTCCCTATCTATAAATAGATTGAGACTCAATGACCATACACCGTAACTTTTTAATTACGCGTGTGCATTAAAAAATAAAATGTTGCTTTTTGTTCTTTATATCATGTTTTTTTTTCGATCAAAATATAATTACTTTACTATTCAATTTAAAAGCTGCTCCGCGATGATGTTTATAAACTTGAATTACTTTTGTTTGCGCAGCGTTCGGTTATTCGTTGATCGCCTGACGTCATTATGATTACGACGCGGCTTTTTCCCCGCGCTTTTAAAAATGAAAACGGGCAAACGTGAGTTGTGTTTTGTATTTCCTTATCAGGTTTTATTTTTTGTGTGTTTTCATCTTTGCTTATTCATATAATAAAACAATTATTGACTAGAGAGCCATTGAATAGGACGTGATATTGATCGGCAAAAATATCATATTTATGGCTCACTTGTTAGTAATTGTGTAATATCGCTGCAGCAGTCCATCAAATATTATTCGGATTTATTGGAATGTGTAGTTGTGAATGATTATATATAGATATATACATAAGAATAATTATGAACTAAGAACACCTGGGATAGTACTGAATCGTTTAATTGTAATCTTATTGTTTTACTAACTACTAAAGCACCTAACATTACTGAATCTTACAAATAACAAAAATACTCGTCCTGTGTGCTTTAAAACGATGCATTTAAGATATTGTGCTTTTTATTTGAGATATTCTATAATTACAATTTGGTATGCGTGCAGTTTGTAACATTTTTGCACATGCAGACATATTATTCAAAACAAATACAATAATTCACTAGCGGGATTTCCATCATTATCAATTGTGCGTCTTAGATATTTAATTGACAAAATAGATGTGCATGTATCATTAATCATTACATTATCTTTCAAAAACATCAACATAGGTAAATAGTAAAAATATTACAAATTTGTTTTCATACAACTACACTGATATAATCATCATCTTCATCTTTAAATTATGTTCATCAAGGTTTTATTATTAACTTATTCATCATGATAATACGTGATAGAAAAAAAACATTTACTCAAATTCTATCATATCATACAAACCGAAAATCAAAGCTATTTATAGAGGAATAGTTTTTCCTAAAACCTTTATACAGCTTATACAATACAATAAATGTAAAAATGTAAAACTATACATTTTAAAGGTTATCAATGATGTTAAACATGCATTTTCCAATTATTCATGCAGGGAAAATAGTAATAAAAATACTTTCATAATGCTAAGTTAAAACCATCACAATTTCATGATCTTTAAACATGTTTAAATTCACATTGTGAAACATTCTTTCTTATACAATTTTCTGTTCATTACACTGTGTATTATCAATTTACGTTTTAAGAAAAAAGATAGCAAGCATTTTCTGTAGAACTTGGCAAGCAAAGACTAAAATAACTCAACCAAAGCAAGACATTTGTTTCTGAGTATGTTCCCTAAAGTTTTCACTTAAAATGATCGGTTTTGCATATCTATATCTATAAAGACCCAAATAGCCATTGTTTTATTCCTGAATTAAACTTGTCTAACATACAATCAAGAACTAATCATATAGCAATACTAATCAATACTTTAAATGGGAAATTTGAATACAACGTAATTTTGCCGAATATATAAATTGCAATGTGATTAAATGCGTAATACACGTAAAGAAGTAATGATAGTTTATCATGTAAATGATGCATAAATTGTCAAATTAATGACTGTCTAATTAACAAACATCATTTTCATTGTTTACAGGTCAATTTTCTTATCACTTGTAGTGTAACGCTTACAGTTGATTGATTTGTCGATATTTTAATTTATATCGGAAGCATGCTTGTCTTAAGATAAGAAACACAATATGATAATATTTTACACCGGAATAGTGGACTTGTCAACAGCGTCACTAAATAATTATCATAAACGGACAAATCCTTACTTATCTTATCGTCTAACCTAACGCATGAGTGGATCAGGTAGTAATTATCTACATTTCTTAAAGATTAAACAACTATCCTTGTTATTCCAATAATAGGATTTATTTCACAAGGTATGTAACTTCTTCAAGAATATAAAGTCAGTTTACATAAAATACTTTTTTATGAAAATTAAAAAAGGTAAAATTATGTTGTTCCCTTATTTTGATGGTATGTTCTCGAAAGGGTTTTACGACAGAAGTATCTTACTTAACACATACGGATACTGTGGATTATCCGGAACAACATGATTCCGGGCATGCGCAATTGGCAGTTATCAAGAACTTCAACTTTGTTTTTGAATTGTTCATTTTTATAAAGGAAATGAAAAAGTTAACTAATGTCAGCCAAAACATGTCTATAATTTTTAACACATTGAATGAGATAATAATTCTTTTCTTTCTTTTTTTATCTCATTTAATCTGTAGAAAAGGTTAAGGTCAGTATGTGGCATTATGCTTCTAATTTGCAGGTTAAACGCCTTTTGTAAAAAACAGGAATCATACCAGATGATTGAAAGAATAGACGATTTCCTGCCATTTTATTAATGGATCATGGTTACAATAACCAAGACATAATATGTTTGCATGAGATCTTTAACTATTGTTGTTTAATATGGTTATCATACTTAAAACAATAAGCACTCTGTTATATTATTGAAACAATTAGTATAATACATACTTTTTGTTCGAATTACTAATTTAGTATGTCAAATAAGGTTGAAACTAACTGAATATATAAATGGATTGTATGATGATAAGGTCGATATTCAAATCCCTTTTAAGTACGATTTAAAATATTTTTGTTTTGCTAATTGTTACAAATCCTTTTTATATTGTACTATGTATTCTATGCTTACCGTTTTATGCGTGAAATTAAATTTATATCTCTCATAGAGAATAACTTACAATGTGAAAAATATAGCGTTGCCTACCATTCTTTGTCTGCCATCAACTTATATAATTCTTAAAAGTTGTACCATTACATTAACATTACAAAATAGACAGCAAATATAACTATAGATCTGAATGAAATTTGTTTTTGCAGCGTTCTCGTATTCTTTGAAAGTCTCGCGTCATATTCTTTTAGCGTTCGTTTCTCGCACTTTAGTATAACAGTCAACAGTCGTTGTAATTCCAGTAACAAGTAATCAAATTTAAAGAAATGTGTTTATCTTTAATTTAAGTGGAAATGCTATATATCTCATATGAAGTGAGTCAGTTACCAGCCCGGACAAACTTATATATTAAAAGGCCATACCTCTAACAAAATCTATGTCAACAATGTGCACAACTAGACTTGGTACTGACTATAACTGTAAGGTTTGAATTCAATTTCACTAGTATTTCTTTAGGAATGAACTCTGTAGTAGGCGACACGAAAATCGTGAATATTTAACATCTTCAGTTTGAATTGTCCGTCATTCATTTTTGACACAACTATTCATCATTTTAGGAAAGTGTTTAAATATCTACTGGCGAGCAGTGCATATAATAATCAAAAGGCACAGTATGGTCTACATCATATTCACATAAAACAAAAAAAAATGTCCTCTATATTTCTTAATAAAGTGAGAAAAGACAAGCTACACACCGGTTAAAATTTTGCAACTTTTGCTTCTCAGTGTCACAGATAGGATATCCACTCAAAACAAATATTCTTACTGACATGTATTCCTCATAGATAAATTATTTCATTTAAGGGTACAACTGTTGACAACATGACAAGATTGGTCTCTGTAATTTTGGTTTTAGTATGTCAGATTGGTAAGGCATCTTTATGTTAATGTATTGCCAGTTTATTACAATATACATTGATAAAAAAAATAATAAAGTAAAATAAGTATAGATTTTTATAAAAGATATCAATAAATGTATTGTATGAACTGTCAGTTTCAATAATATTTATATAATGCTCATTTTTATTAATACTTACAATAAAATCATTAACAAAATAGACATCTGAATATCTGTTCTATCTGACCAAATAAGATTGCTCTTGTTTTAAAATTATCAACAAGATCTGTAGAGTAATTGGGCAGTTTCTTGTTATGCTTAGGACTATTGTGTTAATAGATGTATATCTGGCTATTGAAAATGCACCAAGGTGTGTCTACAAAACTGCATAAGTTTTGTCAATGGCTTTTAATGTAGAATAGCTTTATAAGCAATATTGTAATCAATTACAAATTTATTGAAACATGTTGATCTTCATTTTATATCAATTTTCTAGGATTATCAATGCAGGCATGTGCTGAATGTGTATGTTGTAAAGAAAACTTTACTTGTGATTCCAACAAGAATTGTATCAATGGTTGTATTGACGGTTATTATGGTGCAAAATGCACAGAGGTGTGTCTAGAAAATTGTAAAACTTGTGTAAATGGTAATGAATGTACATAATGTAAACCTGGTTATTATGCCTACAGATGCAATTTGCAATGTGGGAAAGGGTGTCTAAACAATACATGTTCGTTATCATCAGGGGAATGTGTTTGTAAATCGTCTTATTTTACTGGAAATAAATGTGATGTTTGTGCAGGTTCAATGTACGGTGATAAATGTAACAACACGTGTCCTAGTAGCTGTGGACCTTGCATATCAGGTACAGAATGTACCTGGTGTAAACATACTGCTTTTTACGGATCATATTGTCAGTTTAGATGTTCAGTTGGTTGCAAACTTGGATCATGTAATAAAGCTACAGGACATTGTGTTCACAGTTGCCGAACTGGTTTTTCTGGATACAAATGTGATACATGCTCACCTGGATTGTACGGTCATTTCTGTGATCTCAAATGTCCAGAAAATTGTTTAACTTGCCTTTCTACGACATATTGTTCCAAATGCAAATTTGGTTTTTACGGTGAAGCGTGTTCAAATACCTGCCCTACAGGTTGTGATGGAAACTGTTCATTTATGGGTGGTCGATGCTTTGATTGCAACCGGGATTTAACGGAGAATATTGTAACCATACATGTACAAATGAAACATATGGTGTTAATTGTTCACAACTATGTCGTTATGTCGACAGACATTGCTATGCATGTATCTCAAGTGTATCAGGCATTTATGGTGGCTGTACAACATGTGACGGGGGATATTACCCAGTCAGTGCTTTTGGGTATAACCAAAGCATTTGTACAAATTGTCCAAATAACTGTAAAGGTAATATATGCGATACAACAGGGTTATGCAATATTGGATGTATACAGGGATTCAAAGGACCAACATGCGTTAAAGGTATGTAAAAGCATAATAAAACACTTTTAATCATCATTGACACATGCCAGCAATAGATTTCATATGTGTTGGAATTAACTCGATACTATATTATTGTCGTAGGAAAATGTCGATTTAAAAGTTATGATTTTATTTATTTTTGGAAAATAAACTTTAAAAATAATTATTTATAATTTGGTAGCAATACAACCTGATCAAGAAGGGCATACCACGGGCACACTGATTGGATCTATACTTGGATCTTTTGTAGCTGGTTGTATTATTGTTGGTGTTGCCGCTTTGATTGTATTTATTGTATGGAGACGGCGGTTTGTAACATATTTACGCAAATAAGTCTTCTTCTTTTTTCTTTTTTTTTACCAAATAAATAAATCTTCAAAAGTAAATATACTTTATCATAAATTCCTTTGCATGCAAAGATATTGCAAAGTTACATTACACGCTTTGTGTTAACTTTTAAAGTGTTATTTGTTAGTTTGGTATATTCTTTTAATACTCGTATATTAAATTCATGGATTTATTGCATAAGTTCTTTATAAATGCATTTTATTAAACATATTTCTTTATTAATTCTAGGCATGGATATAATAAGCAAGCATGCTCACACGCGTACGAAAATACGCCAAGGCATGGTGATTATGGTCCTGGCGGTAATTATTTAAGATTTCTTCTTTCATCATGTTCATTATCACAGTTTGATATTCATGTCTTAATAAAAATGCCACAGAAGGGTTTTTCATTTTATTTATTACCCTTTCAAACACTACACAATTGTATGTCTCGAAACAAGTAAACACAAGGAAGGACGTTGAGGGAGGACAACGTATGATCTACTATCTATGTTTTAAACATGTTTTCTTTTTATAAATACATTTAATACAGCCTGTGTTGTTTCAAGTAAATTTGCATGCAAAATAACATTTATAATGAATAATAAGAAATGTTGCATTTAAAGTGAAAATCGTTTCCTGTAATATATTACCCAGATAGGAAAAAGGGAGATATTTAAATTCAAGATTCTTTATATTTTATTCAGACAACGCACATGAGAGCGTCTCTCCTGTTACTTACGAGGACTTGAAATCACGTCACGAGAGATTATACAGTCAGATAACTACAAGTCAGCAGATTTCACCAGCAGCTGATTATGTTAATTGTAACTAAGGAAATAGACTTATTACGATTTGATATTTTACGAAGCAAACTCTCACAGCTTTAAAATTTGGGTCAAGATATTTCTTTAAATGTATTCATTTGTACGTATATAACTAAACAAAATAACATAGCTTTTAGTAAAGAGAGTAAACTGAAGACGCTTAAACATGTACATGCGTTCGTTCCAATGCTGAGAGTGTATATGACATTTTAAAGATAATATTGAACAACTTCATATTGACGTTCGTTCCAATGCTGAGAGTGAATATGACATTTAAAAAATAATATTGAACAACTTCATATTGACGTTCGTTCCAATGTTGAGAGTGAATATGACATTTTAAAAATAATATTGAACAACTTCATGTTGACTATGCACGTTACATAAGGTAATTTTTTCTATACAGTCACGTTTTTTTTCTTGATAGGAACAATAAAACAGATGCTCTATAAACTGTTTAAAGTTATTTATTGTGCAATTGTAAAGAATAGTATCAAATCTTATTTTCAGTAAGAGACGCTTGAAAAGATTTAAAAGTATTTGAAATATGTTCTCTGCTATTTATGCAAGCGTACATCGTGTTGTTGTTGTTATTTTTTACTATACACTATTACAATATAGATGCAATTCTATTAACTTCATACTTTTAATGTTTACAAATTTATTAATTTGTTGGCAAGTGTAGTAAATAGAGGATAATAAAACTAGTGTAGGTTCAATACTTAATATTTTGAACGAGTTTAATAAAATCATAAAATGTGATCCTATATGTTTTTATTCAACGAGTTCAATAAATTTAGTAATGAGCCAAGACGAATTTAATATTCTATTTATCACATATCCAAAATGAAAAATATTTACAGTAAGTATAAAGATTTCATCATTGACGCCTTATGTATAGTGTAACGCTAACATTGAGCGAGTATTTACGTTAAGTTAGTATAACGCAAATGATGTCTCGTCAAAATATATGAACTCCCGAATGATATCGCACAAGCACACGTGGAAAGCATGATAAATGCAATTGTTTCCTTATACTAAATACATAAAATGAATCGCGAATTACCATTTGAGAAGTTTAGTTTGATGTATTTGATGCAAAAATAGCGCTTTTGCCTCTTTTTCGTGCATTATCATTATCATTGGAATTGGGCTTTTAATACATCCTTGGGCTTCTGTAGCTGTTATCTCACGACAAAACCCTTCATAATATAAATTTACAACATTATTGTTAAGATAATAGTTATTAATACAAAAATATAGGATCAATCAAAATTCAATTCTAAGAAGTTGCTACAATTTTAGTCTCTATTTAAAACACCAGGAATTCTTTTGATATGAATATTCAAAGAACAAAAGATTATAGTGCCATTTTAAGAGTGAAATGTCTTTATTGTTGAGATAATAGTGATTGCAATGTAGGGTCAAACAACATTTAATTCTAAGACATTGCTGAAATGTTAAGTTTCTATTCAAAACACCAATATTATTTTGATTTTAATACTTAATCAAAGCACTGAATGTACTGATGGGGAGGCTATGAGAGAATGTTTCAGACTTATAGTTTCTTTTCTTTTTGCTTAAAATATGTTACCAAAATAAAAAGATATGCACATTGCGCTATTTATCCTTACTGTTGTGTTCAACCATTCATATATATGGTTAATGAGGTTGACTATTCATTTTGTTAATATTCCAGAACATTTAATTAAGGTCTACATTCGGACTGTTAATCATGCAAATTTTGAAAAACCTAAACTGTCAATAATAAATGACATACCAGCAAGTATGACGACTGTTCATTATCAGATAACAATAACATTTTACAACTGACGGTTCCTTATCAAAATATTCTAGGACTGTTCATCATAAATATTTTATGTCATTTTAATATTATTAAATGATAATAACAACTGCACGTGATGCAACATTTTTATTGAACATAAAAATTATACACGTTTAGATGTACCATAATTGAGATCAATAACATACTGTCTTGTGATGAGTATTAACATTCATGCTCTACGGACAGAAGGTTGTCTTTTTCAGAAGCAAATCTCGAATAAAATCACGTTTCAGAAAATTAATCCCATTTCATTACTGACGGCGTCGGATAATATTAAAGCTAAATATTTCTTGAAAAAATACATCTCTGCAAAGCTTATTCAAAACTGAATCAACCTAAGTGAAAATTGATCAGGAAGTTATATCTTCTTTTTTTACCGCCAACACTCAACACTCAACCAACTTTAGTAGTTAACTGGTAGTTAATCGATAGATTCTACGTGTATTTTTAAACCTCACTGGCTTGAAATATATACTGCGGAAAATCTGTTGTTAACAGGGTGTGCGGTTATTACGTAGGGTTTTCCCTGTCGACCATTTCCCGCAAATAGATGAGAACATCGAAGCCGTCAGTGCTATGAATGGTGTTATAAATGGCGTGTTTTGGAAGTTTTTGTTGAAACTTCTCCAAATACCTCCAGAGGCGTGCACGTCGCGGAGAAGGCACACGGAAGGTCATAGTCAAGTCATCATAAGTACCAGAGGTGATTGGTTGACCTGTCGTGACTTACTCTGGAGGTTTGGCGCTAATAGATGCCGTTTTTGTTGTCGTCAGTCAGAAAGTTGATGCCTTGACGGTATTGTCGTCTCCTTTACCACCAAAGAACGAAGAATGGGCTTCCAGGAAGAATCTGCTTGAAAAAGACGTCCCAGATGCTATAATCTCGGACATATGGTTATTCCGGCGCCGAGTATAAATAAACTTAAAACACACACACTTTTGTTGAAAACAAAACAACAACACATTTTCTGTAGTAATTTTTCAAGTGTTGTAAAATGAATAAGAAAATTCCTCTTATGCCGCCCATTATTTTTAGAACACAACCATAAAAGTTCTTTTTTTTTATTTTTCAAATAAACATTTATCACTTCAGCGCGAGCAAATATCGGTTTCAAATTAAAGTTTCGTAAGATATGTTAATGACTTCCCGATGCTCGACTGTAAGTAATTTGTATATGTATGCGGTTTTTTTTTGTTTTTGTTTTTTTGTTTTTGTTTTTTAATTAAAGCTTCTTATTCTTTAATATTTTTTATGTATCTCATAATCTGTATTGAAAATTTGAATTTTATTACACATGGACTATCAAATTATGATGTATGCCCTAGAATTGAATAAACTTTCTAATTACACAATACGGGGTCATACTGATCTTTGCGTCTTTCTCTGAAATACTTATTTCCTTGTTAAAACATATTTGACCACATATTTCTGTCAATTAACTGTTCACTTTACTTCCGATTTTGTTGTACGGAAACACATGTTTCTATTTGTGTTTTCTAATCAATTCGAATCTATAATCAGTTTAATGGGATCACCACCGGGTAAACGACTACTAGGTACTTTTGTCATGTTTTTTACCACAAATATTTGAATGTTTCTATTGGGATTAAAATGAGCATAGTTAACTAAACAACTGTTTGTATAAATTCCTGACCTGTCTAATTCTAATTATGAGATTAGTGAATATATAAGACTTTCACTACAAAAATATTCCTAAACAAAAGAGCACATGTTTAAATTTATTCCTATACAAATAAAAGATCAGAGTAGGGATCTGTCAATTACCAAAGATACTTTTATGTTAAAAGTTTGATTAATGAATTATGTAAGATGAAAATATAAGTATTGCTTTATTTATTTTGCTAATGTAAAATGTAATATTGTGCTGGGATTTTGTCGGAGGTCCTTAGGGGTTTTGTAGTTAAATAGTTTTTTTTCGGCGATAATGGTTAAAGAATAAAATGTTTTTAAACTATATGTTCATCACCATCAGTGAATTTTTAGTTAAATGTATGCAAAATATTTACTAAACAGCTATATGATTTAGCGGTTTATGAGCGTTTTCCGCGTACAGCCTCCTGGGGTGTACAAATAAGTTAGTTTTCCTTAGTTATCACGCAAGCATGATCCATGTCTCTGATGTAAGCGACAGTTTACAATTATTTGTCTTTAAAAAATATTAAGGACTATTAATAGTTTATAAAACAACAAAAAGCACATGCATGATGTTGAGAATACGTAGTTGCAACGTTCTAGTTAATGACCCGTCATAAACAGTTGGTCGCTGCGTAGTAATTGGAAAATTGTTATCAAAAATAATAAAGA